CATTTTTTGCAGTTGAACCATTTAAGCTAGTTTGACCATTTGAACTACTTCAACCAATTTAGATAGATTTCCCAGTTGCGCAGTTTACCTGTTTTCCCTAGTTTGACTATTTAACCAGTGTTAAACCAATTAAACTTGTTTGACTATTTTAACCTCTTTACTCAATTAAGCCAGATTATGCAGTTTGGGCAGTTAAACTTTTTAAGCTAGTTATGCATTTTCTCCGGTTCAAGCATTGAAACTAGTATGACGACTTTAACCAATCAAGATAGAGGATGTAGCAATGTCGAGCCCAGGGTCATTATGGCTCCTTGTCAGCGGTATGATCGCCAAATAGTGACCTCCTGGGAGAATGGATTGATTCAATTTTTTTGATTGGTTGATAGGAAACACAAGACACAAAACAGGAAGTGTGATTTACGAATGGGATCGATCGGGTCGGAAATATAGCATTAACAACGATAAATTTGAACTGTTCTTACTGATGTTATTGTTGTGGTTTTTTTTTTCTTGCGCGAAAGTTTTCACTTGTAAACTGCCTGTCGATGCGTGAGAAAACATTCATCCAAAGTCGCTGCTTGCTGCAATGGCGGGAAGCCGTTCTTCATGGAACGGTGGATTGCTGTCGTTGTTTTCAAAGACGTATAGCAAGAAATGAATCATTAAATTAATTTTTTTTTTGAGTGAAAAGCAGAAAAGAAGATATTGTAGAGGCCGTGCGAGCGTACGGAAATGTACTATTGTAAAAGAGTTCGACATCAGTATAGCATAGTATTCAGTATCAAAGAAGAAATCGAGAAGCCTAAATATGTAAGGAAATCGCGAAGAATTTGATTTAAAAAACAAAAACGAGGTCTGTCGCCATCCGAAGCCCTTCTCAGGCCACAGTTTCAATATCTGCTTTACCACAAGTAAACCACTCAAAAGATCCATTATACCCACGTCTCGAGTACCCTGAGAAGACACTTCTGATGGAAAACACAGAGGTAATCGTTTCATATTTATCTATGATCCTTGCGACCCATTAGATCCTTCTTTTCTATTACCTATGCCTTAACACTAATTTAACCAGGCAATTAACAGGGATTAAAATACTTGGGAAGGCTGGCCATAGAAATCCTGAGGTCCTTGAGTATGAGGGTTTTATATGATGCTACATTTACATCTGGTTTGTGAAAAGCATTTTTTTCATAATTACATTATACGTGTGTGTCGTTCAAAATTCTATGTCAATATATTTTTGTCCAATTTAGTATGATCAGAAACATGCAAAAGAGTTAAGTTCATTCAAAATGACCATATTTATCAATACACATATTTAGTTGACAGAGCATGCAAATACTGAATTAAGAAAGGATGAGGTACATATGCTATGGGTTGCATCACAGACAAGGCTTCCAGCTGTTGCGACCTTCTTGTAGTGTCAAATCATGTGCTAAATATCAGTTTCCAGAGGAGATTGGTGAACAGTGCAGAGGCCGATGTGGACAGAAACACGGAACTGCTGGCTTTTATGTGTTACATGTAACAATGGATAGCACCAAGTTTTCCCTTGAGGTTTCAATTGGAGCAGCTTATCAAAGAAATGATAGATTGAGCTCCTGACTTGTTTGATTTCATGGCCATTGTGAGCATATTGTTGTACAAGAAGATGGAAGTCAACTCCAATCGTAAGGTGAGTATCATTTTAGTAACTACAAGCAACATTTGAAAAATAAGACTTGAACTAAAAGTTGTAACAGACTGACAGAAATAATTTTACTTCATCTTTCCTTTTAGTGAAGTAATGATATAATTTTAATCTTGAAACATCACCAGCTTAAAAATTTCAAAATGGGAATCTTCCATAGTTTTTTTCTTCAGTAAACTCAGGGTCAAGTAGTAACCTCAAAATTTTGCAAAATATTGCAAAATATTGCAAAATATAACACATCAAGTAACAACTTTTATTTTTGCTTCCTAAAGTTATTTTGAAACAAGTAAATAGTACAATATTTGTTAAATAATTTTATTCTTATTTGAAATAATAACAAAGTACATTAAAATAACAGGACAATATCAAAGCAGAGTCAGAAGAAACTTGTTTCGCATGTTTTCATTGTTAAGTAGATCAAGAAAAAGTTAGGAAAGTTTTCTGAGGTAAGTCGTATGTTAGGGGCGAATAAATGGGTGTTTTTATAAGAGTTTCAAAACATTGCTGTTTTTCTTTGTTTTTTAGTCATCCCGGCTCAAGCGCAGTCACCTGTAGAATCATCAGCTTTTGCGTCAGGAGCAGAAGCAGGAGGACTTCACTGGAATCTAAACCAGTCGCTGCCAGAGTTTGCTGTTGTTCCTTTTTCGTTTCCTATATGCTTGCTCAAAGTCCATCCTTACAAACTAACTAGCAGGCAATCGATTCACCCCGCGCAGGGACCTGAAAACATCGTAAAAGCTGCGTTAAAGGCCATCACTTATCCCTGAAAAAAATTCAATTTGAATGAATTTTTTTTCAGGCCTTACTTTCACTACATCTCAAGTGGTATTCTTTACTGCGAAGATCGCTTTCAAATTCACGTCTTTATCCGCAGTTCACATATATCATTTTCATATGTTCACAGTCATTTATTCATTACTTCACGGGTTTGTTAAGAACCTACATATATACATACATACATATATTTATTGAATACATCCCCATCTGGGGCTTTTCAGTGAACAAATTGGATTACAGAATTAAAATACATACACTACAATACGAATTATATATCTTTAAATAAAATATGGTCAGTTTAAACATTCATTCAAAAGGTGGTTTTTAGAGCTCTCCTAAAGGAAGGGGGACTCTTACATAAGTTAAGGCTTGGATCTAACTTGTTCCAGAGAGATACACTTTTATAATAAAGCGTTTTTTGTCCTGTTGCAGTTTTAAAAAGAGGAATGTTTAGTCGCTATATAATGACAAACTCCCAGTTGGCTTGTTAGCTCAGTTGGTAGAGCACCACGTCTGTATTAAATCCCTTACAGGCCTGAATTTTTTCAGGCCTTATTTTCACTACTGCTCAAGTAGTATTCATTACTGCTAAATTCGCTTTCACATTCATATAAAAATTATTATTGTAACAACCTTCAGTTGATCGCAAAAATAGAAATAACGGGTTTTAAAGCAGACAGGAAAGGAAAAGGAAAGCTTTGACGCTGTTGTATGACTTCCGATAACAATCATGACAATTGTCTTTTGCTTCTTTATTTCAACTCTCTCATAAACTTTTCATTGTTAACTACCTCCTGATGCTGTTCGTATCTAAGGTAAAGAAACTGCATTCATACCAGTATTCGTCTTTGTTGTTTAAAACTATTAACTACTTTTTTTCGAGTTCAGGGTTCAAGGTGAAATCGCTAGTTGCCAAAACCATTTTGTCAAATTAAGTACGGGCTGTGTAGTACGACAACAAAACAATTTTTCTGTCTGGTCACCTCCGTTAATCCTTACGCGAACTTTAAACCAAAGTACCAACCCATTCGCTTTATTTTTCGTTGTAATGAGTCAAAAATCATTGTAGGTTAGGAACGCAATATCCAAATTGATAAGAAAAAATGTTCAAAGGAAGAATCACGATTAACCATGCATGTTCATCTTGTTATTTAAGTACGGATTCTTTCCTTATAAAGTGGTGACAACATTAGCAACTGTGGACTGCTCAAGCCGGGTCATTAAGGACGACTCCGCTTCCCTTTTGCGATGGCTGCCTGCTGATTATTGGGCGCTACTTCTCTTTCCGTATCCTAAAAAAAGAAAGCGCATATTCATTTAGTCGACATAACAGTGCAGGAAATTAAGTTATCCTCTGGCCACCGAATGTGGAGTAAATGATGATGAAATCCTGATCAAAATTGTATCATTTAGACACTAATGTAACGTCTCTAACAAAGTATTAAATCCAGAACTGCAGCGACGTTTGGAGTGCGGAAAGACGAGTAAGATCATCGCGCAAGATACATGTTAAAAACTGTGCATGAAGAGTCTAATACTGGCAAAATGATGGTGACCTTCGACTAACATAATTGAGGATTTCACTGACAATTTAAATGCTTTAATATATGCTAAATTCTTGCATTTGTTCCATAGCTCGCGGGAATTTTTTTTTGTCAGTCGCATTATTCTATGACCAGGGCGTCTATGACCAGTGAGTCAGTTCCGAACTTGGAATGAACACCTAACCCCATTTTTTTTCCGTTTTAGAAAACGTTGTAATTTAATATTAGTAACTCTTTCAACTCGCACGGCTCATTGAACAGTCTCCCTTGCTATGTTACTTTACCATGGGGCAGTTTAATGAAGACATTTTGTTTTCCTGTGCCGTCACGCTCAGCCTGTTACTCTCATGGAAGGTTCGTTTTACTTGGAACGAACTGTCGGTGACGTCATGATTGTCGTTAGCAGGCTAAAAGGCAAGGACGGTTTTATAATTTAGTCATTTAGTCATTTAGTCTTAGAATCCTTAAATCAAAATATCAATTTGAGATACAACCTATATAAACACAGAACACCAACCTGGACTTGAACAACTCTGGCTGAGCTCTTGCGTTTGAAAGAAAGTCTCCCTACAGCAAGTTGAAATTTGTCCATATTTAGAGACAAGATTATAGAGACAACTGAATAAATTCATTACTAACCCAAGTCCTTTCTCTTTTGAGAGAATCGTTTCGTTCGGCTACAGTACAGTAAACGAGAAATTGAAATGAGTGAAGTATGAACAGCTGATCATGTGACACTGTTCGACAATATCACGGATAACAAGTCGTCACTGTAAAAGCAATGTAATTTATGGTGGATAGAAAGGAAATCCTGGAAGAAACCCCTAAATTTTTCCTTTTGTTTTCTTTTGAGGCTTCTTTTCTCAGTGCCTGCATTGGTGATCACTTTGTCAATATCCGCTTTTTTTTCCTGCCATTTATAATCTAAAATGTATTTGTTATTTATCTATGATGACTCTATAGTCAATCCATATTCACTTATTTTGTCAAGAGGGCATCTTACCTTTGAGCTTGCTAAAACTGTTGGAGTTCGACGTTTTCTTGCTTCCAGATTCCGACTGCCGAAAAAGAAATAACATAGTGGGAACATTTGCTACCAACCATCACTTAATTGAAGACCTAGAAATCTGCAATGTAGTTGGTTGTGCTTCCACATGACTCCGCCCAAAACGCAAATATGATCTCTCCTAACTTCGTCACTGAAAACCCGAAATTTTGTCAAAATTGAGTTTAGATTTAGCTCCATGAAATTAAAAATAACGTTGTTCCCTGGCGTCATTCTTGTGAACTCTTTTCCTTTTTCACAATTCTGTTCAGAGTGATTGCATTGTAAGTTCATTGTAAGTTCTTACCGAGAGTGAGAAGGATGCATTATATTGAGATATATTTTCCTTTGTGAGAGAATGTTTCTCTTTCTGCCGGCGAAAAACTTGGCGGACCTGAAAAGAATATATTTAGTGTAAAGTAATATTTTTTTTTCACTACGTGTCATTGATTTATGGAGCTTTCAAGAAATAGAAACCACTAAAAATTGAATGACGATTTCTTTGACTAACGATTGTGTCTGCGTCACGTGTTACCTAGAAAGTGCCATGTAATTCTGGTTATGTGAGATATTCCTTGTTATAACATAGAGCGCGCCTAAGGCCTACCTATTTCCTAAGGAGCTACCATGGTAAATGTCCTTATGTACTGCACGGCCGTGCATTCATCACACGATGTGTGCAATTTAACTTCGGCTGAAAGTTCCCGTTGAGTTTAGCCGTGAGGTTCCAAAACTTTCAAGATTTTTTCCCCGCTCTATCTCGATTGAGATAGACCTTTTAGAGCTCAAAATGAAAACGAAACATGCTCGTTTGATGTTCGTTCCGAAAAACAATGAGTATGTAGCTCTTTCAAGCGACGAAATTAGTTTTGGAGTTGATGATACTTCATTCCCAAATCATGCACGGCTTCTGACTTCAACTGCATGAGGCTTTGCGACTTTGGGTAATCTTCATCATACGGTAAATATTATTTTGAAGTGTTGATACGCCATATCAAAAAGTTTTATTAAATGTTTTGAAATCGTACAATTTTCAGAACTTTCAGCAAAAAGCTACGCAATTTTCTGGTTGTAAATTCTAGTAAACACCAATTCAAGCAGGGTAAATCTACCACGTAGGTCTCGTGCATGAAAGAAATTTGTAAGTTTTTAGGTTCGTCTTTAGAACGGTTGATATTATTTTAAAGTGTTGATATTTTCTTAAAGTGTTTCGTTCAATAAAATATTTTAATTTTAAAACCGTACAATTTCAGAATCTTAAAAATTTTCGACACAAACCTACGCAATTTTCTGGCCATTAATTCTAGCAAACAACGATTCAAGCATGCTGATTCTACAACATGCTCTCGTACATGCAAGAAATTGTTCGTTTTTCCGTTTCTGAGCAGAACATTTTCAATTCTTTTAAAAAAGATTTGGTCATGAAATATTTCTAAGTCGTTTTTGCCTTGTCGTTTATTCATAGTTTTCGGGTGGAACACGATTACCTGGTTGACCCGACACAGTTGTAATAAACTCTTTCCTTCGAGCAAAACTTGTATCTGCATGCTATGTTATAAAAGAATTGGTTCATGCTTTAGCTGTGCTTGATGCACTTGGGAAGTTTGGAGAACACTTAAAAAGCTACAGTTGCTCTCGGTTTATACCTCAAGCAACTCTCACGCTTCTCTCGTGCTCTCCAAACTTCCCGCGTGCATCCATAACTCGATATAGATACGCTAAGCATGGACCAATTCTTTATTATTATTGACATACCTCACCTACCTCATCGTTAAAAACACAGTGCAGCAAGAAAATCAGTAAGCCCTAAGAAAAAAAGTTAGACGACGTTGTTTAACGGTGAAATATTTAAGAATTAACCTGAGCACGCAGGATGTTTTATGAATATCATAGAAAGGGGAAAGTTGAATGAGCCTGAAGTCAATGCTTCCTGCACACTTTTCTTTGATCTTATTTCTCTCCCGATGTTCAAAGCGTGTTGACACCAGAAGCCTGTTAAAGCACCGGTTTAAAATGTTTCAACCGAGTAAATTCCTCATTCGCACCAGGAAAGTTTAACTAAGACACTGGAGTTTTAGGATTACTTCAGCCAATTATTTATCAGCAGCTTCACCAAGCTCAACCCTCAAGATTTGAATCAAAATCTTCCTTTTTTATTGCTTTATGTCCACAGTTATTATTGGTGAGATTTTTACGTTACATTAAGATGACACCCTTTAAAAGTTTGTCTTTTCTGATCACACGGATAATATAATAATATGAGGAGAAATAAGATGTTAATCATCTCTGTGAATCATGTGTTTTTTTCCATATGTTTTAGATTCAAATGTAACAAGACTCCTTCACAACTCGACATGTTTAACACACTCACCTGAAATCCATTGACAATAGAAAATGCATAAATGAAAACCTTTGTGCCATCGTTCAAAGCAAATAGTCCAAGAATCCAGCCTACACCAAGAAGGGGCATTAGCACAAACAGTCCCTTGATTCCAGCCCTGAGAAAGCAACATGAATCCATGAAAGAAAAACAATCGGCCTTAATACGATAGATGCACCGAATAATAAAGCTGATTACTTATTTTTGGCTGTGTTTATGAAAACTCACTTTAAATGGGCGTGGTCGGAGCTTTTTACAGCGGACGCAGAAGAGACAACAGTTTTAATAACCATTATCAAGACAAATGTGTTTACCTAGAAAAAAGAAAAAGACAAAAATTTTCTTAGTTTCATCAATATTCACGTTTTCCTAGCCTCCTAGCTGAGCAATGCTTAGAATCTGTTTTCAAAATGCAGATCAACAAAGTCTGAAAATAAGGTGGGAATCATAGTAGACAAATTATAGCCTAGAGAAGCCTGTAAGCGAGCCCTTGCAATCTGGATGAATTGCTAACAATTTTTTGGAAATAAATTTATGTGATAAACTTCTTGTAGGCTTACAATATAACTCACGATATAAAGTTAGATTTTCATTCCCGGCTTATTCACTCTAACCTCGTCTTTACAATCTTAAGTAGAATTTTGACCTTATAATACCAAAATTGATAGGATGCAAGCCAAATTTTTTGCAACCTCTCCCTTCACTAAAAGTACGGGAACGAGCAAGACACTATTCAGTTCCATGCTAGTTTCCCTTACTATAAAAAAATAGGTAAGAAGCAGGAAAAGAAGCAGAGAGGACGGACTGGTAACGTGGACTACAGTGTTATGTACAGTCAACATCTATGCAAGTAAATCATGTCACATATTTATGTTACTAGGACTACGTTGAAGTCAAAATGAATTAAATACAAATATCCATGATAATATCAAACATACCGCAATTATGGCAACAACAGGTCCAATAAAGGCCCAGATGGTGCCATCCTTAGTAGAGAGCCAACAGCTGTAGGGATGGAAAAAAATGAAAAATCGTTTGTGCAATCAATTCCTCATTTCGTTTTATAAAATAATTCAAATAGTACGCGCGCTCTGATTGGCCATGAAACCATTTTACATGAGCGTATGTAAACTACGCTTATCTCGTGTGCTCCCAACCTCCCGCGTGTTTACATCAGGCTACGTAAACACGGAAACCATTTTACATTTCTTCAATACGGGGCACAAGGAATACTTACACTTCACTGTTACCATAACTGTTTGATTTTATAGCAAATGTGATGGCAACTGGAAGCGCAGAAAAACCTAGGTCACAAAAAAGAAAAAGGAGAAGAGGGTAATAATGTCTGTGTAGTTATGATAATTATGATAATGATAACAATGATAGAAATAAGAAAGATGTTTTTTCGTCTTGTCACGAGCGTGGGACAAAGAAAAAATTCTGAGTCCCCAAAAACATTTGTTTGAAGAGTCTTTGTCCAACGCTCGTGGACAGATTGTGAAAATGTTGATGCAAGTTGAACCTTATACGAAGTCTGCTTACCCCATCCAAACACATAGTAATAAACCATTTGGATATTCTCTGTTCTGAATACTTGGACAACCTTCAGGTACAAATGTAAGCCCTCCACAAACATCCAGGTGAACGCAGTCAAGAAGAAGTAATGTATTGACACTGCCACTACTTTACATAGCACCTAAAATAGGAGATAGATGTGACTTAGTTTACACAATTATGGTGGCTAGAAAATCGTCGATAGATCTTCTCACAACTTCAGGAATCCTTCTTTGGAGTCTCAATCAATTACATCTAGCCATTTAAAAATTATGATGCATTGTGGTTTTAATCAATTGGGTAGACTATATTTGTTTTTTTAATTGGACAAATTTTCCACATGTTTCTATTTATCGTGCTAAATTTGAAACTAATTCCTCCTGTCGATAATAAACTACCGCGTAGCAAATTAAAAACATTTTTTAAAGTAATTTAAAGTTAAGTTTGTTTGTTTCAGAATTTAAAAAAAAAAAAACTCCAGTGGGATTAAAAACATATGCAAAAATTAAGACTAGTTTTTTCACTCTAAGACGATATAAGTGTGGTGGCAGGGATAGGCCGAAGAGTATTTTCCTTTTCCTTTCTTCGGTTTTCACTAAAGCTGACGACTGATGGACCAATAGTAGCGCTAATATATGTGAAATTACTTAAATAAACGTAAACGGCATTATTAGTAGAACAGAGGGAAAAGACAGTTGCTGTCATCTTAATAACATGAGTATAGCGATAAACGGATACGAGGAAAGGGGTAATATTTTCGGCCCCTTCACCACAGTTATATCATCTCGATGTGCAAAAATAAATACTTTTCTAAATTATTGCATACATATATGTTTTATTTCTCGTAGATTTTTCTTGGAAAAATTATAGGGAGCAATTTCCAAGATAACAGGACCTGACTACAAATTGGTGTACAATAGATATTGAAATAAGAATAAAATCGTCTTACCGGACTGGACGTTTCGTTTATCCCAGCCAAAAAAAGTACGTTAGCAAAAAGGAGTGACACCACGAGGTTGGTATGAATTTTGTGTCGTTCCGATGACAAGGATCTGAAACAAAGCAAACAAGGAAATATAAATAGTTATTTGGAAAGGAAGTCGAGTTCATCGAGGTATTTACGGGAGAGATATCATTGGGAACGTGAAGTTCTGGCAAAAATGGATCGAGATAACCTAAGAATAAGATTTCCTAGGAAAATAATATATAATCTGATGCAAGTTAACACTTAGGTATATGATCCATATTTCGTTTGCTCTAAAGGTACTTTGCTTGGAATGATAAGCTGAGAACACATAAAGCTTTAAGTTGAAGTTGAAAGAACTGTGAGAGTCCACGAAGATATCTTTTATAAAAAGATATCCTATCGGAGGACTTTCAAATTTTGAGAAAAAATCTGACAATTTGACCACGGTTGTGAAGAAAGTAGGGTGACCAATTGTATCACTCCTTTAAAAAAAAAAATTAAAAAAAAAAAAAAAAAAAAGAGGAAGAGTGTGGAGGAAGTATACAAAAAAGCGATTTGACTTCCGGTAGGAAGTGATATACTAAAACAGTGATATACCAAAACAATAAAATGGGGGCCATGATGCCATGGCACAGCAGTCCTGTGAACACTTAGATCACTTTTAATAATTTGAATTGCTTTTAGCCGCGTGTATCTCCATAATCTTAAGACAATAGTTTAATCAGCTGGAGATTCATCTATACATTCATTACTAGGGTTTAGTTTCTAGTTCGTGTCAGCAACATTTCCCTGACTTTACTAATCACAATGTTAGTGCATGTGTAATAAAGCATCTGTATGTGAATATGTAAAGAAACCTTTTTCAACAATCAACTGTTAAAGGAGAGAACTTTGTAATAGAAATAAAAAATTCCCCACTGGACCAAGTCCTCACTGAATCAATAAATTGTCGTAACAAAGCGTCACTCACTCGACACTCAAGAATACTATGACGGTGATGATCAAGGCTCCCGTTGAGACTCCACAGCCTATATAGGTTATGATGCTTAGAGCGAGGTGATCCTCCTCGGAGAGCTGAAAATTGGAGCAAATCAACTAAACAGCTTATACAGAAATAGCATCTATAATTTCGAAAACAGGTGTTACATGTAACCATACAGTTATTTAAGCGTTGCCTCATTTAGCCGGAACAAAAAGAGACTAAGGATATAGAAAAATTGTCGCATAAAGGACAACGAAATGAGTTGCCTTGGACAGTGAATACAACAAAATAATTTGCAATCGGGAACACCTTTTGAAAATGGGCTCCGCATATGAACACATTTTTCATTAATTAAGTCTTTTTATAAAAAAATACTCCAGAGGAAATATAATCGTAAATCACTTAATATAGAATCGCCACGAATAACTCTTTTGTTTTGTTTTTGGCTTGCTTTCAATCAACCTCGTACTTTTAATAATGATGGAAATAGGACCGAGTGGAGTCCGATTCGTTCTGTTATAATACGACTGATTACAAGATAGGACGACCGCAAAGCGGGAGTCTGATTTGTTAATCACGGATTGTCAGTCATAATTTGACGACTCGAAGTCCTGTTACCCATTAATCATAACAATTACAATTTCCAAAAAAAGTAATTTTTTTCTTAGAAAATATATCTGGTAGAGAAACTGTCTAAAGAGAAAAACTCCTCCATTTTGGGAATTCCCCAGTTTTGTAGGGTAAGTGGTTGTTGCTATGGTTATTGTAATCCATTTTTTGGTTAGGGGATTTAGCCGAGTGGACGTAGTATGATTGGCTGCTTTAACTGTCTTATTACAGGTGTCCGTTTACGATCAACTTTCCGATTAAAGCCAACTGTCTGAGTACAATTACACTGTCTGATCATAACTCTACAGAATAATAAATGAAAAATTAAGCAGCTAATGCACCAATCACATTTGATGAAATTGAGGTAGTGAATTAGTCACTCACATCAGTCTACAGTCCGTTAATTAAAAACACCCTTTCTGACTATAGAAAGAAGCTAAACTGTTGTAATTAGCTCATTGTTGCATAAATGAGGAACCATTCCGGCTCGATTATTATTACTGAACTGCGAGAGTTTCAGCAAGATTTGCCAAATGTTTGGGCTACGTTTTCCATTAGCAGTACATCTGAATGACTAAATTCTCAAAAAAGCGCCTTTTCACACAGTTGGCGTAAAGAATTCATGTTGTATGATTAGATTTGTTCTTACAGACCTCCACTTTTGTGTGCTGCATAAGAACCGCGAAACTGGTGAAGTGTTCGGTAAGGCAAACAGTAATTGAGGAGTTTGATGGTAACTCTAATTCTTTGACGCCATTCGTCCACCAGGAACTAAAGAAAAAAGTAACAAGCGTCAATTGAAATGACATAGTATTTTACAAGAACAAAGTGGCCCACCACGGTAAAATTCATTTTCACTTATAAACACTTTTAAAACTGAGGTACTGAAATGTATGGTTATTTGCCCGGGTTTAAATGCCATTTTATTATCAATATATTCCGTATACGTCCACAGGTTGTCTTTAATGATGGGAGGGATCTTCGTAATCCACTGGTTAACCCTCCTTAAGATGGGCAGCCCTTGGTCAGAATTGTGTTGACTCGCTATTTTCTGCCTGCTTCAGAGCGTGCCTGGATAGACAGCATAGACGGTGCAGTTGGAGCCCTTCTAACCTTTTTCCTGTCTACTTTGCTCAGATAAATCAGGATTCCAAAACATTTACGAGTTTAGTTGACATTAGAGATGGAAGCAAAGGTCTTAAGTTAAACTTCCTGGCGTAAGAGAGTCCGTCCAACAGTTCCTAAAGCTCTAACAGAATGTGGGAAGCTAACGCTGCATCGTCAGTGTATCTCATCTGTCACAAGAGCACACTGATAAGTTTGGTCTAAGTCCCTAGACCAGCAAAGCCGAGGAGTTTTCCTTCAGCTGTGGTGTTGATGTTGACACCTTCGGAGGGAAACCCTTAAACGACAATAAGAAAGATTTTCCAAGGAGCCCTGCCACTCCCTATCATGGATCTAACGGCATTCGAGAATTTACTTTCACAGCAGTCAGCATGTGAAAAGTATGATTGCATGTCTCCAAAAGACAGTTTCAATAGGGTCCTTTCGAAATTCTTGGACACGCGCTCCTGAGAACTAGGTACTTGCATGTAAACGAGGCTTAGAGGACCGCTGGGAAAATTAAAAAATACAGATGCATTCACCAACTTCATTGTAAGTTGAAATGCTCCAAGTTTTGCAGAAGTCATGGTGAATTTTTGTTGGGTTGCAAACTGTTTGAACAGTTCAAGGAATCGTCCGGATCTTTCCTTTTTCTGTTTTCCTTCGGAAGGGCACTTTAGAAGGCTATGGAAAAACTTCTGTAGACGTAGTGATCCCGAATTCCAAAATCAAAAAAACCCTCGGATTTGCAGCGCACACTTCGAGGCTTCATCCATCAAAAAGTCGCTTTGCGGAAGAAAAGAAGTTATCCCAGGCGAATTACCGAAATATTTTAATTCCTCGACTCATCCATGTCATGTTTCTTCCCGTGAAAAGAGACTGGAGGATAGAAAGAGACGTGCTGTTGATGAAAAATGTCTTAAACCTAAAAAGAGAAGCCTTACCGAGGAAGACAAAGACATTTGTTTCGTAAGCGACGATGCAGCCCTTTTAAATCACAATTATTGCCACCTTCTTCGTAACGACAAAGGATCTCAAACGGACTTTCCTTATGAAGATCTAGAAGTTTAAACCAGTAAAATTGACGCTTTAAAAGAAGGGAACGCCTAACTTAAATCAAAGTTATGAAACAAAAAAACAATTAAAAAGAGAGCTCTTTGTGGATGATGTTTTGAAAGATGACGAGTCTGTCAAATTTTTTACGGGTATACCTAGCCTTGCTTGCTTTATGATGACATTTAATTTGCTCAAGCCGTTTGTAGAAAAACTTGAGTATTGGGACAAAAACAAAGAAAAAGAAGTAAGCTATCAAAAAGATTCAAGTAAAAAAAAGCCTGGAAAGCAAAGATTATTGACCATTATGGAGGAATTTATCTTAACTTTGGTGAGACTCAGACTTGGGCTTGTAAGCATATATCTTTGGAGTATCAGAAGGATCAGTTAGCAAAGTTTTCACAACGTGGATTTGCTTTGTATCAACAGTTTTTCGTGATATTCTTCTTAAATGGCCTTGTAAGGAAGAAATTAAGAAAGTTGCCAAGTTCTTTTAATCAAAGTTTCCAAGCGCTCGAATAATAATAGATTGCACAGAGATATTTTTCCAAAAGCCAATATCCCCTTATGCCCAGAGAGCTACATGGAGTAACTATAAACAGCACAATACCATGAAAGCACTGTTGGGAATCACTCCAACAGATTACTTCTCCTTTGTTTCTAAACTATGGACTGGAAATGTCAGTGACAGATACATCACAGAAAGAAGTGGTCTACTGGACAAACTTGAAGAGGGGGATTCTGTTATGGCCGACAAGGGGTTAACATCAGAGATCTGCTTACAAGAAAGAAAGTTGCACTTAATATCCCACCACTTTGCAAAGGTACCTTTCCAATAAAGGGAGCTAATGAGATAGGAGTGGAAGAGGGTATGCTAAGATCAAAGAGAAAGTCTCCCTGGACAAAGTGAAAAAAAAAAAAAAAAAAAAAAAAGATATAACAGCATCCATAACTTGTTGCTCATAAAAAAGGATCTTTCTAACTGAACAGAAGTTTCTTTGGAATACTTTTTATATTATAGGGTTAAGTTGAACTGCTCAAAGATAAAGGTAGTCTCTACTAACTTCCAAACATGTTTACATAGCAGGGGTGGATCCAGAAAATTCAGAAAAAGTTGGTGTGAGGCAGTGGTTTGTCACTTCCACCCATCCAATAATTTAGTATAGGTTTTGTTTGGAAAAATGGTTTCCAAAAAAGCAAGTACTTTACTATCAGCACCTTTTGAATTGGTATTTACTTCATTCAAAATCCTTTTTTCTCCTCTTACACAGGAAAGTAACTTTCAAAAAAGGCAGTAAAATCTACCCGTACCATTGCAAGTGTTTGGATCCATATTGAACAAGCTATTGGACGTCTTAAGGACTTTAGAATTCTACAAGAGAACTTCCTTCTTCAAATGCTACCCATTGCAGACAATATTCTAAGTGTTTGTGCTGCTCTGTGCAATTTGCTACCACCACTGGCCAAATGAATGAGAGCAGAAAAGCACACCAAGTTATTGTGACATGGAAGTGATTGCAACTTAGTGTATGTAAATGGTAAATGAAACATGTATTAAAAGTACAGCACAGACAAAAAACACTATTTAAGCACCTTCACTTTTACAATCAGCATCTAATGGCAGTCACTCTATAATGACTTAAGTATGTCATGGTGGAATAGTTCCTGAACTATATACTCCACAAAGAAGTTTCTCAGGGCTTTTGGAGCATTTCATTCCACAAATCACTATCAAACTTAATGTTTACAATCAATATTCCTTTGAGGGTATAAATAACTAGATCACAGTGATGAATCCCTGTTATCCCCATCATTCCCTGGATTTGGTAGTTCCATTTGGTTTCTTTTTTTAATTTCATACTTGCCATCCACAAGCATGAGGTTCTCCTCAGCTGCAATATGTGGAGGGAGATTTCTTTTTGGATACATGCTTTTAACTTTTTTTCGTACTCCAATAGAGATTTGTAACTTTTTAGGCTTTCGCTATTGTATACGGGATCTTTTCCCACCAAGTAATTAAAAAGATCAGGGAATCTAAAGTCCGGTACGTTAGTAAAATTTTTGGTCAATTGGGAAAAAACACGGTTTTCGTTATCCAACGGATTTGCGAGATCTCCCTCATCGGTTTTCAGTTGCTCTTTCGTAGAAATTCTTGGATCGACTGGTGATTCCTCTTCAGCAATTTTTGGGACTTTCATCTCCTCACTATTCTCACAACGTTCTACCAGTTCAACCTTACGTTTCCCTGAGCTTTGAATGCCCCTTTGTTTTAAGTATTCTTTCAACCAAGGAACCGGTTTACAGCAGCAGAGTCAACCATCTTTTGTGCTTTAAGCCTCGCTTACATGGTACTACCTAGTTCTCAGGAGTGCGCGGTCAAAATATCGAAAGGACCCTACTGTCCATAGACTTGGGAGATGTGCTTGATCAATGAAGGAGTGAAAAAGCCGAGTGACTACAGGGTTAGTTAGACTTTGGTAGCTCATACAGGAATGAGGATGTTGCTTCGTCCAATTAATCTGTTCTGGCGGTAACTCAGATTTTCTGAGAACGAAGGAATGGGCGGAGAATTGTAGAGTCCTCATTTCCATTATAGTTATGTTAACAGTAAGAAAGTATGACAACGGTATACGACAATACAGCTGGTACCTCTTCACTCAGTGAGGAGCAAGAACATTACCATCATTCTACGAAAAAAGGGGGTGCTATCCAGGAGCATAGAGAACGTTTTTAGAATCGTGAATGAAGTTTGTAGATAAATTTACCTTCTGTTTGTATTCCAAAATGAGCACTGCCTTGAACGGCCTTCGGCGGACTAAAAAAATTCGACAGGAAAGACGCTTAAACACACCGTTAGCTGAGTACCTTAACGAATCTCAAGGGATAAAGAAGAAAATAATTTCTCAATAAAAATGAAATTAACTTCCGAATTTATGGCATTCAAAATGAAATTAAGGCGTGTTGCACTTGTGGGAAGAGATGATAAAACAATGGTTTGAGATTTGTGGAAGACACTTACTGCTCACAAATGAGTCTATGACAGTGACAGATGCTCCTGGATAGTCATTCTTGTTACAAATAGTTAAAGTTCAACCTACTAGAGTTACACACTAAGGCATCAGAGGCAGGGATGACCGGTCAGATTATTTACGTTACTAGCAATTTCGACCTATCTCACCCTATGAAGTCAATATTTCTGATAGCCTTCCGTCACTTCTCTATTTCGTAAACTCTCTCACATATCTAAACAAAACCATGCAATTTTACGCCTTTGTGAGTTTTAGATACCTCTATTGAAGGCATATCTTAGAGAGATGCGATAACTTACCGAAGTTTTGAAATACAGAAGGGCCGGAGAAGTAAGATTGTTAACAGGCTTATCACCAAGTGCAAGGTAACAAGACATCACAAGAGAGGAAACGTGGAATTCATCTCCAGTTTCACTACAGGTGTTAAAGAGAGAAAATAAGTTCAATAAACAAATTCGTTATTCTCTTTTTGATCAACATTTTAAAACGATTTAAAAAATCATTTTATGCAAAAAGCATACTTTTGGGAGGAATTCGGCAGTCCACTTTCCACGTCCCTATACAGCAGGAATACATACGTGTAATTTCCTATGCGGGAACAGATATTACATTTTAATACATTACAGTAATCGTCCTTATTTATTCAGTCCATGCGAATAAGCGCAAAGGTGATGGAAGCGAAATCCGACAAAATTAGGAAAAGTAAAAAATGAGAGTTTCAGTCAGCCCCGTTCGGCGACATCTCGAACAGGAGAAACAAAAACTTGGTTAAAATCTCGATAACCACTGCGGGCGAAATTTTTGCTGTGTAATGCAGATCTAGGTACTTTTAAAGGTAAATAGTGTAGTATCATGGTATGGAGAAATGTAGAGTAGGATGTACATATTGGAGCTAAGGAAAGAGAGGTAAAGCGAGGTTTACGTGCCGTAACATGTGGTTATGTCGTGTGGTGTTATGTGGTGTGGTGCGGTGTGTTGTGTAGTGTAATAAGGCAAAGAATAAAATCTCTGATAGAAGGGGTCCTGTGACTTGATTCCTTAATATCGTGAACCTCGCAGAGAAAAGCATAACTACAACCTTACCTTTGGCACTTTGTACTGCTGTTTTAGGGATCTTCACAAAGTTGGAATCATCGCTCCACGAGTCATCTTTTATCGTAGAGTAGTCTGGGATTATGATGTAATCCTCCTCTGCTGTGGTACGTTTTCTTTTAATCACGGCCACTTAAAGGAAGAAAGGACGTTATAACGATGATACAATGATCAGATATAAAGAAGTATTGGCCCTCTGGTGAATTTTCTTAATCGGAAAATATGTTGTCATGCCATACAGTAAACTTTTGCAGTCTTCCTTTTTTCACAACTCAGAAGGACACAAAACATAAAAAAAAACAAACGATTAAACTCCGTCAGAAGCATTCAGAACATTGCATAGAGCTAAAATGAAGATTTAGCTTCATTATTGACCGATTGAATTAAAATAATATTTATGGCGATTCCTTATATTTAAAACTTGTCACAGATTTGTAGTAAAACTTCGCACACTGTTGTAACCCGTAGTAAAGGAGATGTTAAAAATTCTCAACTGTGGTAGGACGTTTTAAAGAAAAAAAAAGATCCTTCACCATCTGACTGATGGAGACAAACCAAACCCTTGGAGAAAGGAAGGCATCTTCATGTAGTTTGAATTAAAAGCGACAATAAAGAAAATACTTACAAACTTTTTCCGTTGCAAGGGTATAATCAATTCCGAGTGAAAGGTTTCCCTCTGTCATATTAACGAAGACATCTTGTAAGTTCGCTATCAAGTCGGGCATCTATATTAAGAAACAGGGAATAGAAGTTTAAAAAAAACCAGGATATATTCTGGCTAACTATTCTATTCTTCTTTTGTTATCAGATTTTCGATGAAGAAGATGTGGGAGAAAGAACGTGCATGTTGCTAAACCCGCAAAATTATAAAATGTATACCTGAGTAAATGCGAAACCATTTCATGCGAATTCAAGACACAAAGATCACACTAAATTACAAACTACTTTAAAAGTGTAAAATTGAAGCTTATTACTCTCGAAGTGTTTTTCCAAAATTCATGGTTCTTCTTATCGAGACAGCTATTAGCAGCCTTTAAAACCTTCCGAGATGTATTCTGCAATAAGAAAGTATTTCATCACCAAAGAGAGCAGAAATGAACAAGGAACACAAATGAATACTTTCAAACAACAAATTGTAAAGCACTGAATGATGTAATTAAACCATTGATAATAAAGGCTTATCAAAACTGCCAACTATAGAGGGTTTAATCTGAATAATAGCTGAATAGCTCGTTCTGCCGGGTTTCTGTAGCAGTATTATTGTTCTCAGAGAAGATTGTCCATCGCAGGTTTCCGCTGGTACTCACGAGTATTGATACTCTAGGGACGTGATGTGTAGAAATAAAGCGTTCATCCAAAGAACAAATCACAGTAACAGGCCCAAGCTTAAATCTGCAGGCCGTAAAGCCGCACAACCTTCCTTTGTGATGAATTTCCTCTCCTTGAATGATTGTCATTAAGTAGTAAATCGCTTTACTATAAAACGTTTTTACTCATTAAAGCGAGGAAAGTGGAGCATCTTCACAAATCGGATCTGTCAATTACAATTTAACCAGGGTCAGTTATCAAAGCGAAGAGAACCTTAGGATGCGGTTGTAGACACGCAATAAATCTCTAGATTTATTCAGTGGGTGGTGTGATTGTTTTTCTCATGTTAGCTAAGAACGTTCTCGCCACTGTTTAGAGAAAATGATTAGTTTAGTAGAAGAGAACCGAAGATGGGTTAGGATGTTTTTTCGGCAAACAAAGACTCAACTTTGTTTAAGTAACTGACTCGCTTTTCTTTTATTTTTTCGTTTTTTTTTTTCGTTTTTCCATGCATTTATTCCTACCTTCACAAACTCTGGATCTTCGTTAACTATCCGAAACATGATGGTAGGGTAAATTTTGAAAGTGTCAAGACATAATTCCTCGTTGTTCTTATTTAACATTTCGATGGATGCAAGATCTTGATGTATGGTAATAACTCCGAGAATGGCAGATTTGTTGACATGTTTATCTTCCTGGGAATGAAAAAAAAAAGCTTTTATGATTAATTAAATTGGAAGACTTGATAAGTATACATTTGAATCTACCTATGTTTCCAGTTCATCTATCGATCAGTAAAGTTAATTTTAGCATAAAAATTTTTCTTCTCGGAAATGCGGTTAATCTTTCAGAAGTGAACAATATTTGTATAAGTTGAAAGCACCTGAAGAAATGATCAATCACTGGACTTACGGCTAAGCTAGAACAAACGCCACGCCTCGTGCGAGAGCGGCATACTCACCCAAAGGCTTACTTCGATCTCTTGCAACTTTTCTAACAGATCTTTTACGGTTACATCTGAAACAGTTTAATTATGAACAACAATAAAAGAGATTATTTCATTTTCAACTCTGGATGTTGCATTTCTGGTGCTCTGATTAGTTCTCTCAACTCCGGTTACTAGCTTTTACAACATAACTTAGATCAACGCGAGCTCTGATTAGTCAAAAATCTATTGTATGTTTACCTGTATACCCTTAGAAAACTACCTTTGGTTTGGAGGAAACGAAAAGGACACTTTGAACGCCAAAAAAAATAGACAAAGATTTTATTTTTCCATTACATCAAATTTTCAATTGAAAATGCAGTTTAACTAATTGCTACCTCCGTTGTAAGCCTTTATTTTTCGCTGTGCGGTTAAAGTGAAAGAACTTCAGAAATTCTCGAAAAGTTTAAAAACCACTTGGCTGCGCATCGTTGATTACAAACTTTTCTCGAGTTCTCCCAACATCCCGCGTGGTTTATAAAAATCGCATTCTTCGAGTGTCTGAAGTAAATATACTTAAGAGTCGCGTCCCGGTGGCCGGCTCTCGGCTCATTGCTGCATACATGTGTACATAGGTAGCTGCTTTGGGTTGGATCTCAGTAATGCACTACGTATCCTGCGCTAGCAAACACATCACGTCACCAGACGACTGATAAGCCCGCACCCATTCCGAGAGCATGGTATTGTTTTTATCAATCAATGGATGTGGTTAAAACAGGTATGATAAGTATTGTTTGGGTTGAGCCAGATCCCATGTAGACCTCTCACCGGCTCGCTTTGCTCAAGGCTTTAGGGTTGCTCTCAGGCAAAGACAGTCATGCCGCAGCGCTATCAATAAAGAGCTGCTCGCATTCTAAAAGGTAAAAAGCTGATACTTTCTAAGATTAAAAAGTTTTGTTGAGAACACTTCTTACTTGGCATACAAATGCTGCTTATACACAAAGAAACCTTTTGATTCCTTCGGATTAGCAGTGCTAGAGACATTGAGGCTTGATGGCCCTATAAGTATATATTGCTATAAGTAAATAAAAGCTATCCGTTATTTTCCTTTTTAGAAAGAAAACACTCATGCCGCAGCGCGATCAATAAAGAGGTGCTCGCATTCCAAAAGGTGAAAAGCTGATGCTTTCTAACATGCTTTCTTACTCGGCACACAAAGACTGCTTATACGCAAACAAACCTGTTGATTTCATTGAAGAAGCACTGGTGGAGCCAATATTAGGTCTTGATGGCCATTTGTAAGGTTCTATGTTATTATAAGTTCCCGCAACTTTATTTGCTATAAGTAAATAAAAGCTATCCGTTATTTTGCTTTTTAGAGCTGCTAATGCATTTTGTTTGTAGGTAATTATATCGAGTGTTATTTTTCAACATTCGTGATAAAAAGAAGCGTCGGAGACATCTTTGGATCATAACCTACATTGTTTAACGATGTTACACCATCTGATTATATATAGATTCATACAGATAGATTCATACAGGTATGAAACATGTTGAAGGAATGGAAGTTAAACCCATTACAATATACAAACTAGAAAAATGCATTCAGTAATGTATTTCTCGAATCCGTCTTAAAATTCTTATCGATTAATAAACTTTCTTTTTCATCCGGCAAGTTTGGGTTAAATGATAAACTGTTACTTAGTCAACATGTATATCAGAACTTTACCAACTTTGGAAACTTTGATGCTGTCTCAGATATTTAAAACAGGTTCTTTAAGCATTTCTTGACTTACCTTCCAGGAGAAAATGGCCATCCTCAGCTGTGTTGTCACAAAATTGTTTGCTATTTTTTTTTGTTTTACCATGTTTCAACGATAAAGTGTCAGCAGCAATCTCTCCTTCAGGTGCTATTATCTGAATGACTCCTCCTGCTCCGCCAGCCGTAGGGTTAGGACCCTGTCCTTTCCCTCCATCCACAATTAGCTTTCCTTTTTTACGTATAAGTACCTTTGATTAATCATAGCAGAGATTTTGTTGAGTTTTAAAACTAGTCAAAGCAGATAATACTGTGGTAAATTTGAAAATGAGTAAAATTCGAATTAATATTTAATTCCATGTATCTGAAGAATATGATAAGAATTCTATAATACAAAAATTAACTCTATCATCGATCTATGTTCATTGACAAACTTGGTACTATGTAATTTAGGCTTCTACCTTAGCAGCCTTAAGGCGAATAAGTCCTCCTGATCCTCCAGAACACGCTCCTGTACTGCTATTTTGGGCTTCAGCTCTAATAGGTGCGGCTGGAACGGGATCAATGTCACCAATTAATTTCCGTAACTAGCTAGGAAGAGAAATCGTTCTCAAATTTTGAACTTAGAGATAAACATAGAAAGAAAGTCTTCAAAACTTTTGCAGCGTCAAAATAAGATTTTCGTAAATCTCAAGATTGACATTTGACATTTGTTGAGCACGATGCAACCATTAATTATATTGTGCTGAGTACTATGCAGCCGTGATCATTTTTGCTTCCTGTAAAGTGCTTTTCTTCCAAGGATCGCAATTTGTTCATAAAGGCTTCATTGTTCATAAAGTTATGAAATAACATTTAAAAAGTGAATGTAATGAGTGTCCACCTGATAGCATGGATCAAGTTTGGAAAAACAAACTATAATAAAAAAAACTATACTCCTAAATTTAACATTCGTCTAAAGGTCTGACGCGACGGTTCAAAGGGCAAACAAAGAATGTGTTTGTGGATGTTGTTGTCGTGGATTTATTGGTTGGCCAGAGAAAACTTTTAATAGATTATGCTGTCCATGTTAAGTCAGTTACTTTAATAAAAAAAAGTGACATCGTCCAGTTCTTTGAAATAACCGAGTGCTTTGTCCGGGCATCGGCGAATGGTTCTTTACGAGAGGATAACTTTACCAAGTAGGTGTCAAGTCAACCAAATCGACTGAGTTGCAGATAGCAAATTCAACATATCTTGCTGAGACCTGTGAACACAGTCTTATCGTTGACAGTACATAAAGATATGAATTAATTAAATTCTTACTCTGACTGATCTTAATAACTATTTAATTGCAGCTTTTGACAAATTTGAGATATTGTTAGAGAATAATATAACAAGTTCATTACCTATAATTATCTCTCCTTTATCAGCCACAAGTTCCAGGGCTCCACCACCAGAAACGTTTCCTGATTCTCCTATGCAAGAACCTGAATAAAAAAAAATGATTAATCAGTTGTTGGATAACAACAATGCATGCGATTTTTGGCCGGAATGTATTTTCGGCTTAATATCAGAATGAAACGTTTCCTTAGTTTGTTTCAGTTAAATAAGCGAGGTATTCGCCCAAGTTTCTGAGCTTGTCGCATGGAAATCCATGCGAATAGCCATAAACAGTTAAAAAAAGATACCACAAATTGTGATACATCTGCTCCGACATTTCATGTGCTACATAACTGTGTTGTAATTATTTAAGTAGTTTTTTCTACTTCAAATGAAAGTCATAATAATCTCACCTCCGCTTCCTCCTAATAGGGAGGCTGTGTTGTTTCTATCATACGGTTTAGGGAAATAAAAAAGACTTTCATCGCCATTCCTTTTTCCTCCATATCCTCCATGACTTGCGCCTGGCGTACATTTGTCACTTAGTTTGGGAGGATTTCCTTTAATTGTTAATCCCCCAGGTCCAAGTCCTAGCAATGAGCACAATAGCAACTAAAACTCTATTTTAAAAGACGTAAATCATCATCACTTACAAAAATGCGACTAAAAATAATATGTAATGTTGGAGCATGGACTCGTTGGCCACAAAAGACTTTTTTCAGTTATGACTAACGGAAAACGTGATCAAAATAAAAAATATATAAAAATAATCAATAAATAATCAGTTAAGGTTAAAATGAATCGCGAAAGGCTTTAAGCATAATAATGTCTAAAAGTACAGCTATAAATAAAAAAAATTAAAATTTGTAGTATATTCGACAAGGAATTTAATGACAAGATAAAATGGTCAAAGTGCCTAAAACTGTTTATGAAATGTTCAAACATTGACTTCAAGTCTTAGGGCTAGCTGTTGGGCGAACATCTTTCAGCAGGAGAAGTTTTTTCCATTTTCGTTCGTACTCTTCACCACTTTCCTTTCTCTGCTCGGTGAAAAAGTGAGGCTAAATTGTTGTTTGCGTGTGTAAAACATAGCTCTCAACTCGCTTATATCTTCTTCGTCTTTTTGCCTACTGTTAGAAGATGTTGGTCTAAGTTTCGGTTGTACTATGTCTTCTTCGTTGCCATCCGCAAATCGGGCAGCCATTGTCACAAAAAATATTTTCGGCAAAAATCTCTTACTGCAAAAAATCTCCTAATGCCTTTCGTTGCGAAGACACTATGAATTATTGATTATCAATGAAGAGTGCCCGCGCGATTAAAAAAGGATACACGTAGGCTTCTTGTGAAATTCGAGAATACGGATACTATAGGTCAAGTAAGAACGTCGGATCTTTCTGGGAATAGCACCGTCGGAAGAAAGTGTAAAAATATCCCACTACACACCAGATTTGTGTTTCCATTGAGAATGTACAATCCAGTTGTGTTATTCAGAGTTTGAATTTGACTTATCTTTAAATAAAGACAATGCCATAACGAGATTTATAATTTAAAAACGGAAAGAAGCACCTTTCTGATGAGGGCACCCCTCTCAACTCACAATTATTGGGTCAATACGACAAAGGCGATGTTTATAAACGGACGGTAGAGGTTGTTAAGAAGTTCGCTTTGGATTACAAATCTAGTCTTTTCGAAGTTTACTAGATGAACTTTCCAAGCAAGTTGAAGAATCTGAAGAAAACACTCGGGTGTTTGCAGTCCGGGCCATAGAAAGTTTTGTCTTTACCATTTCCTGTGATACAATTGGCCTAGACAAAACCATACAAACTGATGAAGCGGAGAGAGGATTAGGACGATAACTTTTCTTGCTAGCATTTTCGGAGCGGCCATGTTGTAATGCGGAGGAGACGATTACTTTTTTTCGTATGGTGAATAAGTTGAACGCTTACGCAATTTAATAAGAGGACTCACTGAAGAAAATTCGAAGTCTGCCGATTCGTTTAGAAACATTCATTGAAAACACCATTGGTAGATTTGTAACGCATCCTCTGTAGAACGCCAATTCCTATAGTAACAAGACGCCTAAGGCGCAGAAGGCGATTCCGTGGGATGCATTGGCTACTGAACATAGCATTGAAAGGAATTGTGTAGTTACAGTAAACTACTATGATTAGTCAGTTAGATCAGCCGAAGAAACCGTGACCGTTGTTGAAAATAGCGAAGAGTGGCAGTTTAAAAACCTTTCGATTCTTCTGGAACAAACTGTAACTCCACCAACCGATCTCCTCGTGTTGCTCATCGCCTGTTTCATCCCTCCTGAGAGCAAAAACTCGTTAAACTCAATTTCCATCTCCGCTGACAACGAATTTTCTCCTTTGAGGACGTCTATTTTCAGCCGCCGTAACTTGTTTATCAGAAACGTCAATAAGTGCATAAACAGGCCGTAAACACTTTAATACAACTTATGACTATACTGAGTTATTTCCTGGCGATTTGTTGTTAATTTTGTAGTATTTCAAGACCATTGCGCGATGTCGATTTCAAAATAAACCTTACGCAAGGTGAGAGGTTAATTGGTAAATTTTATTACGTTGAAACGTAATTTAACGAGTGGCCGATGAAATGCTAAACGCCATAACATAACTTCTGTTTTAATTTTGACCGTAAAAATGCTTCATAGTTTTCTAAATCTGGACGAAAATACCTCCGAACGCACAATCCGGCCACCAATGTTTATATAAGATAAAAATCAATAACGGTTTTACACATTCCTATTGGATAGCTATACAATTTGTCCACGCAACGAAAAAGAAACCAACCGGATTTTACCGTGGTATGCCACAGGCATTCCGCGGAATTATAGAAATTATTTTTCAGATTCCGTGGAATCACACCTGTTACCGAGATCTTGAAATTTCGCTAAAGCTAGTGCAGAAGCTTATATCAATAAATTCCTATACAGGTAGATTTAAATCAGCTTCCAGGAACATCGGATAAACCAGTCCGAGCCATAGACAGTTTTTCCTATACTATGACGTCATGAAATATGGCGCCAATTTTTCAATACTTAAACTAGCCCCACATTTTAGTCCCGCATTTTTGTCTCTGATAGTTATAGCCCTTGGGTTCCAGTTCACTTGATATGGCATAAAAAGAGCTTCGCGTCGAGAGCAGTTTGAATGGCGTCGGTTGAAATGTTTGGGAGACATCACAACTTAAAGTCCAGCTGCGATGACTTATTTGGGACAATTTGACGTATCTAAATATTTTGTCCTTCACATTTATCAAAACAGAAGTCGAGTGAACGTTTGTTTAGTCCGAGTCCATGGCCGTTCCTGTTGTTCTCCTGGGCCCTCATGGCGTCATGACTTCTGCCAACTACCGATTTTCTTAGTGTTTCTAGAGGTCATTATGTTTTCGTTTCAGCCCATGGATGATCATATCTCCTTCTTGATAACATTCTGTTCAATGGACTTTTAAATAAGTCAGACGTTTTATTTTTGTGGACGTCTCATCGTGAACTTGACTGCCCTTGTATGAAAAAAGCCAGAGGGCGCCCTTCATATCAACTAAACAAACAACCGGCGGTTAAAGCTGGTCGAAGTGTGTTCCTAGAAATTCTCGCAGAACCTCATAATACGAGAGATTTCCTTCGACATTCATGTGGAAATTGCAAGTGAGATTGAAGTAAATATGTTATTTCATCGGTCGCTACCTTCCACGCGATATCTTTAAGACATCCAGCTCCAGACACCGATAGAATTTGAAACAAAACACTGCCAAAAAAATACGTGTATGTGCAACGGTATTCGGTCGCTCCAACCAAGAGTCAGTTCGCTCCATAATCGAAGTCACTTCGCTCCATACAAAAGTTACTTTGCTCCATGTTACAAGTCAAGTGTATACATGGTTACAAGATTGTATGACTTTATGACGACATGTTTGTAATTGTTCGTTTCACTCGCGTTTATCTCTCTCTGTCCTCTGCGCCATGCCGATGTTGTGGATGCCCTTATAAATACAATCTTGACGCCGTGCCGATGTTGTTGGTGCGCTCAAAATGCGCTCGAATTTCAAAAAGTGTGTATATGCTTACAAGATTGTATGTTACAGTCGATCGATTTATAAATACGATCTTGACGCCATGTCGATGTTGTTGATGCGCTCGTTGATCGATGGTCGTTTGAATTTCAAAAACTGTAACCCTGTAGAGTATGAACTGCATGTAACAAACTTTTTGTTAAACATGTTCGTAGTTCAAGGGGTAATTCGTTCAAGGACTTAAAAAGCGACTGAGATCTGAGCGTAGTTAAAGAGCAATTGAGTCTAAATATCTTTTTTTAATTACGCGCGTTGTTTAGCATTCACTTGTAGCACTTACATGCTGCAATGCTGATGTTGTTGATGCGCTTGTTGATCGATGGTCGATTGCATTTCAAAACTGTGACCCTGTAGAGTATGAACTGCATGTAAAAAAACTTTTTGTTAAACATGTTCGTGGTTCAAGGAGTAATTCGTTCAAGGACTTAAAAAGCGACCGAGATCTGGGTTTAGTTACAGGGCTATTGAGTCTTAATATCTTTTTTTGATTTATTGCGCGTGTAGTTGCACAAAACTTCTGTTAATCAAGATTGTATTGTTGTCAGTTTCTTTCCACACGTACCCACGTTAATTGTTAATTCAAGTTCAGATTTTCTTTTTTGGCACAACGCGCCAACTAAGCCTTTCAAAGAATCGTTTATTTGAAAATTCAGAAGACGACCTAGACCTCAACTATTTGTATTATCTCAAAAGGGTCCTTAAAAGATTCTCTATCACTCTAAGATTAGTGAACTTGCAACGTAACGCCTTAAATTGCTTTTAGTTTTCCGGTTCAATTTTATTAATTAAGAATGTACTGTTCTTTTCTTGTCACATCTACTACCCACGCAATGTGTGAACTTTAATAGAAGTGAGACTTCAGTAATCAGGTAGTAACCAATCCAAGCGCGGACTGGTTTATCTGAAAAAGCCGAAGAGTTTATGTAAACTTATGGTTATCTTTATTCAAACTCGTAACCTTTTCTAAAAGTGGTTTCGCCATCTCACATGAGCTTCCTCGAGGTGACTCTAAACTTTCAAAGTAGTTTGTTTCCACAAACCGACTCTTTGAAAACGGTGAGGCTCACCTGCCTTCATCGCCTACATAAAAGTTTTCTTTTCTTATTTCAGTGGTGCGTTGTCATGGCAATTTTCAACCAATCACGGGCTGTAAAAGTGAAACGACATTACCAATCACGCGCATAAAAGTGTATTGAAATGTCGTAAGCGAAACTATAAGAATTAACAAGGACACTCCTTCAAGTATTCCTTCCGTGTAGTAACGGGGGTTTTGAGGGATTACAACGTATAAGAATTCGTGTTGAAGAAAGTAATCGAACGAAATATTTCGTGTTACCAAGTGTAAGCGAATGCGACTGGAAGCTGCGTTAGGAAATAAATCTGGACTGACAAGTTCAAAATCAGTTCAACTCCAACATCGAAACAAAAAGTTCACGACAATATTTCACTAATTTCTCACATGGAGAGAAGTAACTTTTGTATGGAGCGAAGTAACTTCGATTATGGAGCGAACTGAGTTTGGGTCGGAGCGAAGTGACTGGGGGCGAAATGACAATGGGGCGAAATGACCATCATTCATTCGAACTCTTCTAACCTTTATAGACGTCGGCCTCTGCTGTTGAATTCTGTGCAAATCCACCAAGACATGTTGTGTCAAACACTTCCTCCCCACAAGTCATGTTCACATCAGTGTGTATTGAGATGTTTCCATCCTTACTTTCTAAACTCAGAGCATACTTCCCCAACACTTTAACTGTTGACCCGCCCTTGAACTCAATGTTACCATTGAACACTATATGAGCAAAATGATGGCTGCCGTGTGGAGAGCTTCTATTTTGAAGGGTTGAGGTGTAATTAGAACTTGAACTGCTGTTAATGGACGGAGCAGTTGTGTTTATCGAAAGAAATTCACCACTCTTGACTATCAAATCACCTGTAGCCAGAAAAAAGAAGCCCGATAGTTAGAGCGTCTGTTCTGAGTACGAACGATTATGGTTTCAGTTCTTTGAAGCAACGTGATGTTTGGCCGAGTTTAATGTTTTAATTTTTTCATTCAGTCTAACGTGAATGAACGCGGTGTTGACCCGAATGAAGTACAATGATGGTAATGTCTTAAGAATACAGTCATATTCGATTTTTTTACTGATGCTGTGTTTATTTGGCAAACATAGCTCTTTACAAATAACAAGAGTTAACTAAGAGTCCTTTCTTAAGTTTGCTTCAAACCTTTTCGGATTAACTTCAGCCGAAATTTCCTTTCGAGAAATTGACATTTTTGACTGAGATTTCCTAAGAAATTAAATCAAATCTTGAAACATGCGTGAGTTATTGAGAAAGAAGGAAATTTGCAAAAAGTTGGCCAAACTAGAAAGCTGTCATGATTTCCGTTAGGTGTGAATTTATAACGCGTTATCAGGGTCAAAGTTACAATGCAAACTTTATTTTTCTTTGCAATTACTTTCTAACTGTGACCGTTACTGCATACTTATCTCCTATCCTAATTATAAATACTTGCGGCGCGTTTCCTGACGCGAATGACGTACACGCGTGTGAATCACACGAAGTTCTTGCGAATGTTCAGTGAAATCCGGCCGAATTGTGGCTCACAAAAACACGCACGTTTTTTTAACATGACAAATAGTAAACAAACTGCTTAAGGCGAGTTTTACGAATGAACGACAGCCGAATTTACCGGAACATGAAGATTGCTCGGGATGACAGAGCCGTAAAACTCGGTTGCAGTGACTGATGTGGCCTTCATCACTCAACGCATCAGTAAGGATATCAGAGCAAGCTCTTAGTTTTTCACTCGAAGGGCGGTCGATGTAATTTTAGAGGCTTGCTTCACTGGCGATCTCCGAGCTAGCCACGTTGGACCTCAGCATCATCGCAGTCGCTCTGACACCGTCATGATTAGTATAAATTATAACAGTTATGCCTCTTTGGTTACATTTTTTATCATTCCTGTTTTGTTCTGTTTTGTTTTTGAACTCAAACTTTATATACTATACGAGCGTTAGCTGTGTTTGATTTTTATTACCCTTCGTAAGCTTGCAAACTAACTGAACGTGAAAACCTTCAAAACTCGGACTGTCCGACTGTTTTCGTTTCCTCTTTGAGGATTTTCGTCTCGGCTCACGTGATAATAACGTCAATTACGGCGCCTGGCATGTTTATAAACCTTTGTTTGGTTGTTCTGTTGCTACCTACCAGCTCACTTGTTTCGAAATTTCACTTTCAATTAACGAAAAAAAAAGCTAGAGAAAAGTCACGGAAAAGGTCGGACATAGTCCAATTTGGCAGATGGTGTGACAGCTTTAGGTCAGCTCTATGCTCTATTTAACAAGTAGAGAAGCCTCGACTGTGCTCTGTTTTGTAAAAAAAAACCCTTGGGAACCGGCTAGTGCACGAAAGAAGTGTAGGGAGAAACACTCGACTACGACTCGTGTTTCTCCCCACTTCTTGAGTGCTCTAGCGGCTTCCTAAGTGCTTTATAACAGAACAAAGCACAGTCAAGGCTTCTCTATTTGTTTTATAATAAAGAATCCGTTAAATTCCCGAAGCAAACTCCCAAGCATTACTTTCAATTTTCAAAACAAATTTTATTTCCAAAGAGAACAAAAGTGTCGTCAGCATGCTCTACTTAACAAATAGATTCCAAGTTGCCGTGCGTCTGTTCAGTAATAGATCACAGATGACGTCAAAATGTGATAAGAACAAAAAAGTGGCACATGAGGCGCAGCCGAGTGTGTCACTGATGTTCTTATCACATTTTGAACTCCTCTGTGATCTATTACTGAACAGACGCACTGCAACTTGGAATCTACTTGTTTTATATATTAAAGAATTAAAATATAAGAAAAAAAAAGTTTTAATGATGACGTCATCTATACGTCTGTCCTCCAATAGATCATAAGTGAGAACCAATCAGAATGCGTGCATAACTGAGCTTATTATGTAAACTCTCATAAAGCACGCTACAATAAGCCAATCAGAATCCCTGTTTGAATGGTTCAAACAATCTGATCGGCTGTTCAAGACGAAAGCTGTCAAAAGTGTCAAACCATAAAAGTTCAAAAACCATCAAAGTTCACAATCTGCGATAGTTTACAAACTAAAATATTTCGGCAGGTCGAATTTAACACTTTTGCCTGAAGTTTTTAAGCCTCTACTACAGATTCTTGAAGTAAAATGTTCAATGAACTTCAGCCGAATTATGGCTCATAAAAACACGCGAGTTTTTTCACATGACAAGGTAGAAAACAAACTGTTCAAGGCGAGTGTTTTTTGAATGAACGACAGCCGAATTCACCGGAACATGAAGATCGCTCGGGATGACAGCGCCGCAAAACTTGGCTGCTGTGACTGATGTGACTTTCCACTCAGCGCATCGGAAAGGATATCAGAGCAAGCTCTTATTTTTTCACTCGAAGGGCGGCCGATGTTTCTGAGGCTTGCTTTACTGATCTCCACGATGAGCGATCATATTGGCTCAGACACCATCATGATTAGTATGAATTTTAATAGTTATGCCAGTTTGGTTATATTTTTCATCATTTCTGTTTTGTTCTGTTTTGTTTTTGAACACTGAACTTTAGCTGTGTTTGATTTTTATAACCGTACGTAAGCTTGCAATCTAACTGAACGCGAAAATCTTCAAAACTCGGAACGTCTATTGTGTTTTTCCTTTGAGGATTTTTGTATCTGCTCACATTTTAATAACGTAAATTACGGCGCCTGGTATGTTTACAAACCTTTGTTTGGTTCTTCTGTTGCTACTTGCCGGCTCACTTGTACCGAAATTTCACTTTCAATTATCGGAAAAAAGCTAAAAAGAAGTCCCGGATAAAGTCGAACATAGTACAATTTGGCAGGTGGCGTGACAGCTTTAGCTCAGCTCTATGCTCTATACTCCCATTGAGCACGCTCTTTCAACCAATGACAGCGCACGTTATATCCAAACTTTACTATAAACTCTCATAGAGCACGCTCTTTCAACCAATGACAGCGCGCGTTATATCCGAACTTTATTATAATTTTTAGTATCACTTGATAGTGATAAGTGGCGATATCTGTAGGAGCGGTCAAGGGTATTTCGCATCGAAAAAAAGTTTTCCATCAAACGTTGCCCAATAAAATATCTTTGGTAGCAAGTAAATAAAACCACATTAGTTTCTGGAAATACGTTGAAATAAAATTTTTAGAGCTCTCAAAAGTCAAAGCTGCAATAGGCCCTTTTTTGAACTCTTGCGACATCGAAAATTTCAAAAGTTGAATAGCCCGGTCGTCGTATCACAACGCATGCAGCAAAAATATTTTGAAATCTGTGTGATATGTCCTTCCTTCCTTCCTTCCTTCCTCCTGTCGGATTGTACCTCACGAGTTCGATTCCCTGGCGATATCCGAGCTCTCCTAGAGATGATACCAGCTTAATGTTGTGATAGCAACCTGCTTCATCTGATCTTAGAAAAGCCTTTATTATTCCTGTATTTTATAACTTTATGGTGACAAAGATTTTCTAGGACTGAAAGCACTGAAAACCAGTCTTGTTTACAGCTGTTAAGAAGGTGTACATGTCAGTTTACTTCCAGGCTTTCCTCCTGTTTATAACAACGCTACTCACATGCCAATTGATTCTCCTCTTAGCAAACCATTCTGCTTGCTTTTCCCGTAACTTCACCGCTATGAACTTCATTGCCCAGTCATAAATGTTTCATCTCTCTTCAAAGTATCGACAATTTTCCGCTTGCATTGATTCTGGTTCTCTGCTCTCAGGATATGCCCTCTCCATTCAAAGATCTTAGCGACAGCATTTTTTGCTTCATACAGATAGTCTTCCGCCTGAACCTTGCCCAATTGCACTGTGTACTCAGAAATAGCGCCTCTTGCCTCTTCAAGAACACTCTTCAGCTTCTCACAATCTTCACGCTTCACGTTGTGACTCTGACTGCATACTTTCTGAAGGTCAGTGTCCCCAGCATCGCTCCGTGCAAAGACCCTACAGTGACCGGCACATTTGCTATCGTTCTCTTTGCAGTGATTACGGTATGTAGTCTTCAAATACAACTTGCTCTCCTGAAGCCTCCTCCGAATCTCTTCACACCAATCCTTTTCTGCTCCTACGCGTTCCAATTCGTCTATAATTTGGAAAAAATCCTTGAAACCATCCGTTCCCTCAGCTGCAGTATTGTCTAGACCTCCATAGAACGTCATACATCTCAGAAATGGCCCTTGACATTTGCAAATTGACAGAATACCGGCTCTTTATCCCTTTGGAATCGCTACCAGGGAGTGTCGGATACTGGCACGCTGAGCTTCGGTGCTAGAACTTCCCATAAGTGTGCCTATGCTTTGCGCAGACCCACATTTTTGCCATAACTGAGTCTCCTATATCGAATAGCCCAGCTCTTGCTAAGATAAGCTGTCCTTCCATGACACTCTCTTTTGACAGATGAATTAAGCAGAGATGACTCTCTATTGAGTCAGTGCTCTGAGGCAAGTTAAACAAACCGGAAACTCCTCGTGAGTCTCCGAACGAAGTTTCTGAGCAACGCGACTGAAAGCAAGACTTCTTGCTGCGAATACCGCTTCAAGAATTTAGTGTTATTAATCATAAGCAAACCAGTACCGAAACAGACATATGAACTACAGCTAATAAAATTACGCGCTTTACAAAATAGATATAGCTAACTGTTGGAAAAATGAGGAGAAACGTAACGTGATAATTTGTTTCCTCAAAAATCGCGGGGTCCTTTTCCACAAGAACTCCCTAGAGCTCTGAATAGAAACTGTCATAAAGACAGGTATGCAGACAAAATTTCTCTTATTCCCGCCGACTAGAATTCTGATCCAAATACCTCACCACTGTCAGTTCATTGTTTATTTATTTAGCTTTCGGTTAAACCAGTTCATTTACCTCAAAAAAATGCGTGGGCTTTGTCTCATGAGTTTAAACTGGTGCCGTTTTCTTCATGGTCATGTGTTATTCGAAACGGATGGCGTCAGCTTCATTCTATCTTGTTTATTTCAGTAGAATACTTCTACCATACGAAATGAATTTTGAGTCGAAGTGTACTATAAAACTCGCAGATTAAAATTATCTAACTTTCTTTGGTTCTTAAAACATGAGATGAGCGATACAACAAATGAATAATTACTCAAGGGGCTGGAACTCCTTGTTTCTTTAGAATGTGAACTACAGTATTTCTGTCATATTTAAAACGAATTTCGGGTTAAAATGTCTTCAAATCAGTTTGACTTGTATTTCACTTTGCCAGATAAGTCTTGATCCTTCAATTTTTATTTCTTAATTTCACTGCTGTTTAGGGAGATGTGAAGTGACCCCACTACATATGGTCGGTACTATTGACAGAAAGGATGGGTGTGACATTTGCTGTGGCAAGCTGGCATTCAAGAGAATGTCATTAGTACCAGAAGCTTACCACTGGTATAAATTATCAATCTTTTGTTCTCTCCACACAACTTGCCTCAACTAGCTTATGCTGTATGCAACTTGTGTCTATACCTTTTTTGCAACTATAAAATTACCAATAAAGTTTTTTGAAAGTTTTGTCCAAATTTCACGGGAAAAGAATATGAGGAGTGATCAGGTGAAATATTGTCCTGTTCCTTAAGAGTATTTGAGCCTCCAGTCAGAGCTATAAAATTTCTTTAGCGACTGATTTATGATTTTTCTGCCTTAAAATTAGCACAGCCAAACCCCTGGCTTGAAAACTTTTAATTTCTGCAAATAGGCATCCAAGCCGATGCCCATTACTGCAGAATATGCGATGTCAAAGTCCCCTTTTGACTTAAGTCTCATTTCTCTAAAATCTGATAGATGTAAATCATCCATTTTCATAAAGAGATCAACAAACTTCTTCACATTAGTTTAACCTACCTCACTAAGTCGTATTCCTGAAAAGAAAAGGCTTTTGGAAATATTTTGTTTTATATCCTCACTATTAAATATCCGCTTTACCGGTTCTTTGTTGTTTGGCATGTGTAAGAGTCTTTCCAGACCGTCAAATTGTCACACTACTCTTGTAATTTAATAGGTTGGAGAATAAAGTTGCAAAGAGTGTATACGATTTTTTTGTGCAGTTGAAATGATAAATGATAGTGATTTTTACTGGGTAATAATTGATTTATTTAACTATTCATCTTACAACTGGAAGCCCAAACTAGTACTTGTTTTCATTCACAATTTCCCCACATCATCGATCATATCTGATGATATTTCCGAGACTAATGATTGAAAAGACTTTATCTTACTCTGATAAAATCCATAATTATTCCTCCATTTCTAACCAGATGGAGCTACCATATCTCTACCATTAGCATTGTCTTACTTTTCTTTACTCAACATTGACCTTTTTTTATTTTGGTAATCGGCCCTGCCGGTTGTGATTCATGTAAAAAAAAAACTTTTGAAACAAAACATAAACCTCTGTAAACTTAACATTTTTGCTAAAATTGGAGGTACACCGCAATAGCAGTACAGTGGAAGCTCTAAAAAACGCTTACAGAAAGGCGAGTACTTCAAATGATCACCGATAATTTGAGAAAGCAATGACACGATAAAAGTATACTATCCAATTCTTTTATACTCGTCGACAGGCCACTTGCATCCTTCAAAAATAACATCATCTTCATCGATCTCTCAGACAATCACGAGACAAGACTCGAACAATCTTTTGCATTCTGAAAGTAACTTCCTTCCGCACAATATACTACAATAGTATAATACAATAATTTCGAGGATTTGCCGCTTCTATCTACGTTACAGAAGAAAAAATGAGAAGGAAGGTTGTCTCAAATACTCGAACCATTGTTTTTCCCGACATATTTTACTGCTTCTTTTCTTTCGTGTTTCTCGAGCGGGAAACTGACGCAGGCGCATACCAGCGGTTTCTCGCATCAAACCAAAATTTACCGGACATGCGCAGCAAAATGCCACTCTGCTTTTGCGAGCGCTAATCAAATTATGAGGTTCGATAAGTTGTTGTTGACGTCTCTCGTCACGAGATAATAAAATTTGTCAGATTTTAGCCTTTTAAAATGTTTAAAGTATTAATCAGTGTGGTCTTAACGCTTACTATATTTTCCACTTGAAATGGTTAAAATCAAAGATTTATTGAGCTACTCATATAAAACGGTCGGAGCTTGCTCAATGAACTGTCACGCAAGCAAAATCGCTTAAAGTGTGAAGTCACCACGGCGAAGAAAATTAATAAGTGCGAGATGTTTTTTTATTTCTTTTTTTTGAGAGGGCACGGTAACGAATCTTGCAATCTGATTGGTTCTTTACCCAGTCGGTATTTTCCTATCTCTGCCCACGGGCCACGGTAACGCTTTCGTGAGTCGCCAAGTACATCCCAACTTTCGTTGACATTTTTCATAAATATATCTCGTTTTTCCAGCTGGGCAGTATTTTTAAGCAAACACGTCGGTCCCTACCTCAAGCCGATGAATAACATGAATCCTCTCTTTTCTCTCGCTCAAATCACTTTGGTTGACAAAAAAATATTATTTTCAGAATGAATTTGCATAAGCAATAGTGTCATTACTTTGGTTGACAAGCGGTCTAAAACCCGTCTGCAATTAATTTTAATCGTTCACAAAAAGTACCTACAATGTTAAAACGTGAGATATTTGGTTACAATTAAACTGAACGATGGAACTTTCATTCATTTGATACCTGAATTTTCTCAAGCAATTTGTTCGCAGTGAAAGAGCCAGTGAAGTTTTAATTTACGTTCTACGACAAATATATGCTCTCGGTGAGTCTTTCCAAGTCCGTTCAATTTGAACATTGGTACCGTAAATTGCACAACAGAAACTGAAGGAATTTTTTGAGAAAAGGCCGCATTAAATCCCCTCGTGTCTCGTTGGAGTGTGCCATTCGGGTTTTGTGAAGGAAAGACCAGGTTTACACACGCCATTGTAGCAAACAAACGAGCAAACTCTCACAACTTCAAAATAAAAAAATTGAATTTACTCACAATTACTTTCCTCACCGTTTACTTAATGAACAGAGGTAAATCTTCGCACATGAATGAATCGTCGATGAGAGTGAATAGTGCTTTCCGTTAGATCATTGACTGAAGAAAACATTGTCGTGACAGTCCTTGCCAAACTAATTCCGTTGTTTTTCAAATGTTCCTACGCTTTTTTTAACTTACGCGCTCTCTAATTGACAGGTGTCAGATTGTGACAGATACTTGTAAAAATAACGTTTCAAAGTTTGTTTGGAAGCCTTTTAAATTATCGTTACGGAAATGAAAATGTTTCGCTGAGGCATCGCTCTTGAATTTGCATCACCTCTATTTTAACTACCATTTACTCGCTCAAAAACTGTTCAGTTTATGGAAGATCTTGCAGTATTTACAGCCCTAAATCATTCGGGTTCTTTCGGAAAGAATTTCGTGAAGTTTCAAAAAAATAAATATGTTATTTACCGGCTAAGGGTCGGTCCGTATGGTGAAAAACTGTGACCTCGGTCTTGAAAATGCTGCCCTCGGCCTACGCCCTCGGGAAGTATTTTCAAGACCTCGGTCACAGTTTTTCACCATACGGACCTCCCAGCCGGCAAATAACACATATATATTTTTCTGCAGCCAAACATCTTATTAGCAGAAATCAAGCGGATTTTTTAATGGTCTGGTCTGGACTTGAGCAATATCAACCAAGAAAGAAAGAAAGAGTTCTTTTGACCAATTTCAGAAAGCTGTCTAACGAGTGCTTTTAAATAAATTATGAAGAACCTCTGAATAAACGAATATCAAAATTGAAATGCATTCTATACATCTTACATATCACACAAATTTCAAAATATTTTTGCTGCATGCGTTGTGATAAGAGGACCGGGCTATTCAACTTTTGAAATTTTCGAGGTCGCCAGAATTAAAAAAAGGGCCTATTACAGCTTTGACTTTTGAGAGCTCTAAAAATTTTATTTTAACGTATTTCCAGAAACTAATGTAGTTTTATTTACTTGCAAAGTTTGAGGGAAAACTTTTTTCCGACGCGAAATGCCCTGGACAGCTCCTACAGAGATCCCCACTTAAATCTTGTTTCATTTTTAAAATATAGCATTCATAACAATGTCAATCGCCAGTGTTGCAGATAAATGCAAGCAGCTCGTGTGACAACAAAGTGCCAAGTTTGATCGGTGGGAAAAATTACTACAAAGAATGAGATCTATGAACTTGACTTTCAAATTTAAGGGCCTGTTTACATGGAGGTGGAGGACCCCAGGTAGGTGAGGTAACCCGCCTAGGTGGGGTAACCCGCCTGTCCATATAATTTCTTATTTTATTTTGATCACGTTTACATGATAGGTGGGGTGGCCCGCCTAGGCGGGTTGCCCGGTCTGCCAGGTAGGGTAACCCTGTCAGCCGGGGTGACAATTTGCCATGTAAACGTGTCAAGGTGGAGTAACCCGCCTAGCCGGGGTCGCGGTTCATGGCAAAAAACTCAAAAGCGAAACATGTATGTTTTAAAACTTTGTACATATCCTAGCCGTCTCATGGCAGAAATCACCAGTTGGTTTCCCAAACTATTTCGTATAACGTATTAAGTCAACGGTTTCTCGCGAAACCAAACACCGCGTAACACAACGCATGACGCTTTCATAAATAAATACATATGTGTCCAAGAATTAATCTTTCATCTTTTTCGAGAAGTGAGCTTGGGACGCCTCTGCTCAAACTCCTTAGTTGCAAGCGCAACAACAACCTCAAGAAACCTCAACCCAGCACCCCGGGGTTATAAGATTACATGTAAACGCGGCTAGGCGGGTTACCTCACCTACCTGGGGTCCCCCACCTCCATGTAAACAGGCCCTAACACACAAGGTGCACTGCAAAACATTGTAGCTCTTTTTTTTTTTTTTACATCAAAATTTGCTGTTGTGTCGCGCCTGATTTGACGTTGTGAAGACATATTTTTAAAAGGGAAAGGAATGCAAGATATTTTTGCTGTTTACCCTTGAACAAGGGAGCGTGTCTTGTTTAATATTCTAAATGCATGACTGAGGAAGCCAAGAGTAAGAAACTGAAATATGGCCAATAGTTTTCGGAAATTGTCGGCCTTTTCATTTCGACGAGAAAAAACAATGGGTCATAATTTTCCCTTGATTGCGATCATCCTCCCCCTCAATCCTCATAACACTCTCAATAGTGTGACGCACTCCAACGCACGCTGAACATGAAAATAGTGTTTTGCATACGATTTCGTAACAAGTTCTTCGATGTGATCTTTCCAAGTTAAACTGGAGTTGAAGGTAAGTCCGAGTAACTTGGCGTGTTGTTCAAATTCGATAGGAACTACGTTAATACATGACCTTGGAAACGGTGGTCGTTGAGGATTGAAGCAGATGGTCAGTTCCCTTGTCTTATCGCAGTTTAAATGAAATAAATAAATGGGAAATGGTTTAGGACACTGTTGTGTCATTAACATATTTCCACGTGTTGAAAATTTTGGAAACTGACAGATCATTGATCATGAAAAGGAAAAGCCAAGGGCCCAATTTCGTCCCTTGGGACACTCCTGAAGGGACTTTACCCCACCCTGACAGGCAGTCTTTGCCAAGTTTGACCCTCTGAAACCAGCAAGTAAGGAAGCTGATAATTCAGTTGATAGTACTGTTAGGGATATCAAGTTGTTTCAACTTCGCTACTAGGGTGCCGTGATCTATCGGATCAAAAGCCTTTCGGTAATTGAAAAGAAGGACTCGTATAGCTGCTCCATTTCCGTCTGTTGCCTCGAGCCATTCGTGCAACATATTTATAAGCGTAAGAACTGTAAAAGGTCCTGATACGGTGCCGAACTGGATGGGGTCGACCACCTTTTCCAGAGCTGGTTTCACAATGTCTGAGATAACAAATCCTCGGCTATTTTCGAAAGGGCAGAGGGGGTAAGTGAGATCGATCGGAGCAGTTTCTTAGGATCTGTCACTCGCTTGACCTTCGGAAGGGGGGTTACGTCTGCAAGTTTCCAAACGGAGGGTAACTTCTGTTCCTTGTATAAGGTACTCGAGGTGTCACATACGGGTTGAGCTAGGACTTCAACATACTCTTTTGATACCCAGTTTGAGAGACCGTCCGGGCCCGGGGCTTTTTGTTTGTTGAGATGTTTCAAGTTATTGTATACCCGTTGAACTGATACTTCTAGGAAATCTGGATTTTCTTCTAATGGCAATAAGGTAACCGTAGGGTCGCAGTCCATGGGCTTGTAAGACTGCAAAGAATCCAAAAGAGCGTCGCTGATAGCGTTGGCAATTTCAGGTGAAGACATGTTCGTAAAGCGGGGACTTTGAGGCTAGAAAACAACCTTGAGCTTTGTTTCTTGGATACACAAAGATTATGTATTTCATTCCACCACCGGCGTGGGTTTACGCCCTTAAGATCTTGGACTTTGGAGGCGTAATTCATTCCCTCGCAACGTTTGCTTTCTCTGTTGGCTGTGTTGCGGTAGAAATTGAACACGGGACCGTGGTTACTGGAATGAAAGGTGATCTAGCGCATGCGTATTAGCTCCTTCAGCTTCACTGACATCCAGGGGGCGTTCTTGGGGTAGACTTTGATGATCGTTTCTGGCATGGTGTTGTTCATGTCAGTTTCTACCGGTTAACCGAAAATCCGAAGCTTTTTCCTCACAGGTGCTTTGATCGTTGACGTGTGACCAATCGATGCTACCAAGGTACTGGCCGAGGCTTGACTTCTTGCTTTCTCTTGTACCCTTTATAGTGATAGATTTTCTGGTGTGCTGACGCGGTACTCTTTCCTTGGGTTGCACAATAACTGTGCCGTGGTCGGAGAGGCCAAACGGGGGAAAACTCTCTGGTATTGAAAAATGGTCACCCATGTTGGTTAACAACAAATCGAGAGTAGCCTGTCCTTTTGTCGGAAATTTCATGAGATGTTTCAACTCAATATGATTTTGCAGGTGACTTGTGTTCAAACGGTTGAAATCACCGACAATAATGAACCCACAGTTGGGAAATGTAGCTTCTGCTGTTGTTATACGGTTGAGTAAGTTCTGGCCATCGGACTCAGCGGGACTGTTCCGACCTGGATGGTAAACAACCCCCAGTGCAGTGCATGAGAACCCTTGAGGGGACCGCGAAGGGTTTAACTTGAACCTAAAAAAATGCACTGAGAAGTTTACTTTTGTTAAATGTTTACATTACGTTCCACGCTCGGGGTCAGTTATCTTCGGCAAAACAATGTTCAGATCCAGTGAGAAGGAAACTGTTATTAGTGTTCCCAGTGTCAGGAATGGGTAAAGTTTGGCCATTGGAAATTAAATTTTTTTAGAAAAAAGTATCTAGCACATGGGCAGAGATTCTTCTCACATGAAATATCCGTTTGGTTACGTCCACATAGCGTACGATTTTTCAGTGTCGGTGGCAGAGAGAGTATATACAAATCGCGCCCTGCAACTAAATTTCATTTAAATTAAATTTGAACAAATCTGTTTTGTTTGATAACCTGATCTTGCGTGTTAAATCTATGGAGGATGGTGGAGAGCGATCGGGTTCCTGAAGGCTTTTTCCCCTTCGTAAATCAAACTTGACAGTTAAACTTAGTATCAGTTGTTCCCTTTTTGGTTTATCAACTTTTTTTCACAAGTTTTTACTTTTTTCTTACAATAGCTATCTGCATGTATTTTTGTTTTACAGAGAAAGTTTTATTTCAGTTTTTTACTTTTGGTTTTGTTAGTCATACGTGTAGAATATTTAAAAAGACAATCTTCTATGATAAATTTCTTTATTCTCTAAACCTGTTGCTTATATGAAATATGTAGGTATGGCTGAGGGCCGGGAGAAGTTACAAGTTAAAGAATTTTTAATTGTCGGAGTCTGAGAGTGGAAGAGTTAAAGCAGGCATACGATTTGTGAACCTGAATTTTCTGATATAAAAAGAACGGTGCAATGTTATTCTAAATGAGATGGAGAGGCTGGAAAGCGATATGTTAAGCTGTTACTATTTTCCACACTAGTTATTGTCATTCATCTCTGTTTCGCAGGTAAAGGGCAATTTCAGTTTCTTACTCTGGCGATTAATAGAATACTAAGTAAGACATGCTTCCTTGTCCGAGGGTAAGCAGCAAAAATATCTAACATTCCTTTCACTTTTAAAAATATGTCTCCACCACGCCAAATCAGGCGCAACAGAATAGCAAATTCTGATGTAAAAAAAGGGCTACAATGTTTTGCAATGCAGCTTGTGTGTTAAAGTGGAAGGTCATGTTGATAGAACTCACCGATCAAACTCGGCACTTTGTTGTCACACGAGCTGCTTTCATTTATCTTTGTTTCTTGCTATCGGTCTCAACCCTCAAACAGCTGGGGCCCTGGAGAGCACACAGTTTTTTTTAAAGTTTATATCATCAGCTGAAAAACTAAACTAAATGAAGTGAAAATCATTATTTTCCTGCTTATACATGTAGTAGAGTTAAAACTGCGCACACAAGTTACATTTTAATTACAGTGAAAAAGGATTGGAACGAACAGATAGTTTCAAAGGTTATATTAGCTGCTGCTGAAAACTAAATTAAATAAAAATCATTATTTTCCTGCTTGGAAGTAGAAATATTTCGAAAGAAAAGATTTAAACATAGAAGAGTTATAATTGCTGCTCACACCAGTTACCTTTTGGTTGCTGTGGAAAAGGCATGAAACTGACGAATGCGCGTCGAAGAATAAGTAATAAGAAGTTGGATTGTTTCGAATACTTAAAACTTATGCCATCGATATGAAGGCGAAAACACCGCCGTTTGGTAAAAAAAAAATGGCTCCCCATACCATAAAGCCCTCAACCTTCGTTCAAACAGAGCATTGTAGCGCAACATTTTCACTCCCTCTAAAAGGCAAAAGCTTTGGTAGTTCGTCATTATTGTTCAGGAGATTCGTCAATTTAACCCAAACCTCCGCTTTCTGTGTGCTCACGAATGTAAAACAATGATATCAACAATGGAAAGTCTCAACGTTGGAGAAAATAAAAGGTTTTTCGACCTCACGGAAGGAAAAAGAAACCAACTCTTAGTTGATGTATGGGCTTTAGCGAGCTAAAGTTTCATTTTTTTCTTAAGGTACGATGGCATTCAAACAGACAGCTTACTACCAAAAATGGAAGAAACACCGCTTTGAATATGAAACCGAACTTCCTTAGGAAATACTAAAACAATGTATTTTTATAAGACACTCACAGTAGAGTTATCACTAGAAATAGTTTTAGCTCTGAGAAAGTACAGTTTGATTGACGGCTTATCGAGTAATAGCCATAACACTCTATACGATTAAATTATGTTCTGCTCATAAACTAGTATGAGGATGACAAAGTACATGCAAGAGAATATGAACAGTTTTTAGTATAATTGCTCAGGTGATTATACAGATGTGCGCACTCTGATTGGTTGAACGGATTGCGTCATATCTCGCTATATTAATCTCTCGCGAGGTGATTAAAGGGCCGCCTCGCGCTTTGTAATCGTTTTTTGAAACAGCACTCGATAAAACACTTGATAGGTGGAAAGTCTCGAGCGTTGGAACAATGAAATATACAATTTACGGAAAAATAACGGAATTTTTAACGACATCGACTCAAAACATTCCTCAAGAGTTGCTTTTTAGGTCAGAATTTGCATCCTCGGGTAACGGGCTTCGTGCACTCTTATACAATGTAGCTATAGTTCATTCCTTCTAAGTTATTCTCTCTAATTAAAGGGGACAATTATTTCACCAAAACTATGCAATAAAAACATAGGTCACTGTACTCGTCCACCGATCGGTGTTCTTGTAATGGCACGTGTTAAGTCGCCTAATTAATGCAGAGTGCGAAGTGCAATACTAAGGAAGCACCCTAATCTCGTGGAGAAGCTTTCTGCATAAACAAAAACGGTGATATTGAAAAACCAAATACATTTGACGGCGCTTTAAAAGTTCCGCGTGCTTATGTCTGTAACAACTTTCATGCATCAAATGAAGGCCAGTACGGACAAAAATATTTCAGTCACGTAATAAAACAAACTGACAGTTGTTTTTGACATGACTAAATATTTTCCAATGAAAGAGAATACACTATAAGCAGTTTCGCATATTAATAACGCAAGTCAAAGGAGATGTCACATATTATAAACATAGTCCAAGAAAGGGAGGAACAAGCTGGTCGAATTACTTCATTTCTTAAAACGGCGAAAACCTTCTTAAAAACTTGCTATCACATCAGTAAGCTTTTAATCAGCTAAGTAAATGTTAAGGAGTTTTTCTTTGAACAGGAAAGCATGACAGACAGGCAGACAGACAGTATGACAAACCTAAACTTGAGAACGACTATCTTCAACGAATTGATCGAAACGTCGTGCGAACTGTACTCCACCCCACAACACAGTTGTAACAATGTAATAAGAAATTTAAACTCATGATTGTGTCGTACTGCTATCTAAAGCAACGCATTGTTGTAATAACTTCATTCATAATAATCATATGCTTCCTGCGCAAAATTATTTTCCGCTTTAATTAAGAACCATCCATGGTTCGTGGCATGAACGAATGAATGGTTAATTGAAACACTGGCACCAGACTGCGAGGTTACCTCTCAGTGCGTATTGTCGGCTGCAATAACTTTATTTTGGAATTTCACAAAACACTTTAAAATCCATTCTTTTTCTGCTCTTTTCCCAGGTACCTAGCATTCAGTGTTGCGAAACTGAATATAGTTCATTCACCATCTGCACTATTTACCAACATGTCTCATGCTGGGTCCTTATTTGAAAACAGACGAAAGGGAATCGCATTCAATAATACATTTAGTAACTTTCTACAATGAGTGAGGCTCAGCTCTTTTTTTTTAAGTTGTACGCGGGAATTTTATCCAAAACGTGTCTTCTATTTTCAAAACGTATGTTGGATCATTAACAATCTTTGAGGGAACACTCCAATTTTTACCGTTTCCTCGTTTCAGTTATCTTCGTTAAAACGCTCATCAGAGGTGCGATATAAGACCGAATATTGACGTTTTATAAACTACATACGGATAGAAAACGTAATAGATACAGAGCTATCACAGCAAATGTTTCCAAGTGAGATAGCCTTAGCACAGAGCACAGAGGTTCATAAAAGGTAAACGATAACAATCATGAAAAAAAAAACCGTTCGAGAGAAATCGACATTTTTCTGCTGGTCAGGTAACGTTTCACAACTCCTATATAATATGGATAGGTCGAGGCCAGTCATTTGTCAAATTAGAATTCGAGAGGCCTTAACCAACAAGGAAGGCGGAAAAAAGGTTCTTTTTCAAGCCATAAACAGCATTGCCATAGTACTTAGATTCTTGGTACTTACCGAGTGCTTGGAGGGAGTTAAAGAAAACCTACCAAACGAAAACGGGAGACGTGAATTACATATTTTCAATTGAACGAGAACAGCTTCCTTTTAAAAACAATGACTCACACACACACACACAAATACATTTACAAACATAAGAGCTAGGCTATAAGATAACCAAATGCAAACCTGTGTCATGATGTAAAAGCTTGCGAAGAACAAGAAGATCGATCGTGGCCTCATCATAACAATCTTCAGTTTGCCCAAAACCAAAGAAAGATTCGGCTTCACCACGCAAAGGCGAGCTGTTAAATTAATTGTGGAAGCTGCTCATTAGCAAATATAATACTTTTTACCACGGGACAATAGATATCTCTAAGTAGACATAAGATTAATGAGGAGCACCTGCCCAAAACTAGTTTTTGTCTATTTAAGATTTTAAAATACAAACAGGGCGACAAAAAAATACTTCAAAAGGAATTTCGAAATATTAAAAACCAACCGAGGGATCGCTTAAATAGGCAAAATCCGCCGTATTCTGAAACTTTTGCACATGTATTACTATTCTAAACGGCACTGCAATAAACGTTGAGTGGATCTCCACTCGTGACGCAATGTGTTGTTGAAACAAGAGAATCGCATTGGCTTTTAGGGAAAATTATATGTCAAATGTGTTTCGTCTAAAGCTCGTTCGACCGCCTACCGGGGAAGTTTAGCATAATTGCATCTCATCGCCAATCTTAAGTTTTCATGTAAATTAATTATTTAACGAAATATGCATTGGCCAGGTTTCCATTTACAAACCGCCCCATAATCTATAGATAAAAATGGATCATTTCACAAAAACATTCTCTTTTCCTTGAAAGCAATATAGGTTTTCTGAATGCGCGTCTTTCCATGACTTTTTGCCTCTTCATTTGACGATAATCTTTTTAATTTGCGGAAGTTAATCTCTAATAACAAAAATGCCGAGAACTGTCCTCCAACGCTCGAATTCGAACTATGTCATGGCAGTGTTTAAAGAATTGCCATTGTGTCATATTTTCTTTTAAAGTCTGAGTTATTGGTAAGAAGACACTCTCCAGGGGTTCAAGCAGTCCCTTTTTGTAATCCATGACTTGATTTAATAAAAACTGTTGGGTCTTACAAAAATCATTCATGTTAGCGTAAATATTATGCTCATTCAAATCCTCTTTCGCAAATAGGAAATTTCCTGCATTCAGCAAAACAGCTTGTTAATGAGACGGAAATTGAGTGGAAAGAGAGAGATCGGATGATTTTTGATGAGCTAATCTTCAGTTTTTTCGGTGATACGTGACTTCTAAAATGTATATCCTAGCGCCTTTGATGCGTAAATCTAAAATTTTTTCAATGGTTTCAATATATCATTTGGTATTTTTACGATTTAAGAAATTTCGTGCATGCGGAATCCAAGGGAGAATTTATTATTCATTTTGTGGAGGAAAGTTATGATGTTATGTTTTCTAGAAAAGAAGTCTCACATGGACAGTTTGACAGCTTTAAAGCAAATGATGGCATAAGTAAACCTTACAAAAGTAATTAAAAAAAACTGGCTAAGTTTGGGAAAAAAAATTAGAAAATGTCAACTATCGAGTTTGGACACAAACAGACTTCCTAAACTCTTGAAAAGGACTTACAAATATGGGTTAAGATCATTTTTTATCAGTGACGTAGCTCTTTAGCGTTCATTTCGACGCTTTCAGAACAGTAAGGAATAATAATTGACATAGTCGTCTTACTTAGTTTCACAATTGCGTTTGATAAAGAAACCTAGGCGACATGCATTTCAGATTCAAGCATGAAAATGTTTTAAGTTGAGTTTGAAGCTTGAAGCTTGTAGCTTGACGGGATGTATGGAGACCTTAAGCCTCTTGAGAGATTCCCTTCTCGGACATTGACGTTTTGATCTATTCAACAAGTTTTATTCTGACCGAACTGCCAGTATAATTAGTAGATAAACACAACAGACATTTACATATCTAAAAAACCTGGTTTGGAAAGTCCAGCAGAAAAAGATTCTATAAATCGAGAGCTTCGTCTTAAGGTAGTGAGAAACCTATTGAATCTTAACCCTAATCAGCACTGAGTGGGTACTTCCTTTTTAGAAAAAAAACTCGTCCAACATCATAAGAAAACCTTCCCGAAATTACGAATTATACTTTGCAGTTAATATGTTTTAGCGTTAGGGACTATTTTTGTCACCTCTTTGTTTTTTTTGAAGAGAACAGATGTTAGAAAGCTGGTGCAACTTTTATCATTTTATTGATGGGGGGGGGGGGGGCGGGGGGGCGCGCAAAAAACACAGAACACAGGCAGATTGTTTGCCGGTAAACGAATGAATGAGTTGCCCGTAATCGGATCCTTGCGTTTGCGCAAAGAGTTCTGGGATCGTCACGGGACAAACATTGTAACTCGTTATAAAGGAACATGTGGTGAAAGGTTGCTTTGACGCCTAAAAAAGCAATTTTTGCGAGAGATTATGGCCTTTTTCGCCGCAGTTTTACCATAGATGGTTAAAGATATGTTGGCACGAGGGAAGTGTAAGTTTTTGTTGAAATTACCACGAAATATGTTGAAAAACTTCTCTCCTAGAGTAAGGTCCATTGTGAAATCGTCATCGCGTAATGGTCTCGAAATATTACAGAATTAGCCAGGAATCCCTTGGAAATAGCTCATTTAAGTCTTTTCAGTTGTATTTATATAAGTACAGCCTATTTTCATGCTTGTTAACGTATTTAATGAACAAATTACGACGTTTTAAAATATACCTCCTTTAAGGAGAGAAGTCGTTGTCCACGGAGATGGAATTATATTTACCGGGCTGTTGCTCTCTGAAAGGACGAAATAAGCGATGGAAAACATAAGGAAATCCCTCGTTCAAGTGATTGTTTGTTTGAAAAAAAAATCCAAAGGTCTTCGAGCTGCAACTTTTCTCCCCGAACTCCTTGAAACATCTTGTCAGTAAAGCAAGATCACGGGAACTCAGGCAGAAACTGTGGACATATCATCCGTTGTGCATCGCTCCTTAAGGGACCAATTTGTATCCCTCAACGTCACAGAAGAAAGAGTTCAGTTTTGAGCCGATTATCAACGCTGATTTGTTCGTATTCATCACAACAAAGAAGAAGTGTAGGTGATTCATCACTTTAATGTTCCGCAATAATATTTAATGCTCAAGCACGCCATCTCAATCTCCTGCTGCCTCAAGGTAGCTCTTCTAGCGCTCTTTTGTATTACCAAGCCACGAAAAACGCTAGAAGTAGACTTAACACACTTACAAAAAACTGGAACGGCTTAGTTGAGTTATTCCTCGGCGATTTATAGTTATGTTTTCAAAATTTCGAGACCATTACGCGATGTCAAATTCGCAATAAACCTTGCGCATGGAGACAAGTTAATCGGTAGATTTTACTACATATTACATGGTTTTTCAAAAAAAAAACTAACATCCCCCTTGTATTAGCATTATCCAAATCCATTTCTGATAAAGGAACGGCGAAAAAGCGAAAATCTCTCGCTAAAATCGTTTTTTTTTTGGACGTCGGAACAACCGTTCGCCATACATTTCCTTTTAATGAGTTGCAATGTTTGCCCTGTGGCGATCTCAGAAATCTGTGCGTAAACGCAAGGATCCGATTACTGGCAACTCATTCGTTTTCTGAGCCGATCTTGAATTCTAAGCGGGTGGTTTTAAAGATCTAAAACTACTTCCGTCCTACCCAACATTTCTTATTACAATAGTTTTGAGAAAATGGATATAAAAGACCCTGGAATCGAAAATAACCAGGCTTAGAGACTGAATGACAACCGGTGCAGCTTTCTCGTTTACAAAAAGTTGACTTTTGCTTACAAATATTTAAGTCAACGATGTAAACTTCGTTAGCACAGAAAGAAGCTCACAGTTTGAAATTTCTAATCGCAACTCCAAAACACTGGCGATTGTGAGGCACCTTTTCGAGTATCACGATTGCATGAGAGAAAGAAATCGTAACGGTCGTCGACATTATAATGTCGCATATTATTATCTTTGAGGGTGGTAAGCTAGTCCTACAGCTTCAAAGCAAAGTATAGATCATGACGATTCATGACATGTCTTTTATCAGAAGAAATATCCTGAGTAAAAACTGACTTTATGAATTATGCAAATAGTTAATAGTTAAAAGGAAATAGTTAAATCTCCATTTTGGCTCCCTATAAGAATGAGTTTCAGCTTTACCCCTAAATATTTAAATTATTATTTAAGTGTCTAGGATAGTCTAGTCAAGTCGTAAAAGTATAAACGATACAGTCGGTTGATTATACATATTGCGATTTGAAGCACAGTCCAAAAAGTACTCGCACAGAGTGAATTTCCGAAATTATTATTTTGAACGGTTTCTTAATTACTGACCTAGTTATCATATTTTTACGAAACTTGGGAACGAAAAGACATCTTTATCATTGTCTTACCACATCATATGACATTTGTAGCGGCGTTATTTGCCTTTTAAAGACATTCTTCAATTCCGAACTGTCGTTCACTTACGCTGCTGAAATGGCTCTTTTGTCGCCATGAGCAACACCACACCTTTGGGTTCAGTGTACGGACAAGTGTTACCGCTTGATTACCGTAATGATTCGACTTAGTGCCCGGAGCGCTTATATACTTATGGTATGTTTTACAGAAACCGTAAAAGAAACAAATGTATTGCAGTGAATATTCTCCTGATAATGGTAGAGAATTTTGAAAATCACTGGTCATAAAGGTTGAGAGACTGGACGAAGACCACCGTTTTTGAATTAAATGAGGCTGTAATTGAGCAAAGGGAGCTGAACACGGTTGATCTCAACGTACAAGTACTCCAACAGTGCTATCACTGAAACAGAAAAAGGACGCTTATTGGAATAGGGGCGCTCTTTGGAAGAAGGGTGCTCATGCAATAGAGGTGCTTATTGACAAATTCGAGGGGGCGCTTATTGGAGCGAAGGCGCTACATCGAATTATTACTGTAATCTGAAGTAAAGGATGCTTGCGACATTTGCGTT